GGTCCCCCCCAGTGACAAGTCTTTGGAACTAAATTACTAAGTGCTTTCTGTTCTGAAAGTGCAGCAGATAGACCAACAAAAGGGACAAATCAAATGCAAGATTATGCAAGTTTTTCTCTCTAACCAGATGCCACGAATATTTCCATTCTCAGAGCAAATGGTCACATTAGAAATTAGACCACTGATGTCCTTGGTTGCCCTGACTTCTGTCCTTTCCTGTAATCACTTGTTTGAGGATTATTATGGCATCATTTATTTTTAGAATAGTTTGTGAGTGTGCAGATGAAAGCAAAGTATAGATAACATAAGGTAACAAAAAAGTTTTTATGGCCACTAAATGAATTCCTTGGTTCGCTGAAGTTTAAAGGCTCCCTGTATTTACTCATTTACTTGCATGAAAGTAGCAGCGGAAGGGAAAGGGCAGACTGGGCAACAGCAAATGTACACAAGACCATGTTATACAAACAGTTTTCTGTATTTATGGTGAACCTGCCTCTTGGATGAGTGGGCCTGCGGTCAGCGAGAGGAGTATTTTTAGCATCCTGCGGCAGAGGTGTTGATTTCTCGAGGGACCTGCCATGCTAAGTGTGTAAACATCTCACTTTAACAAGGTGGGATTGAGACCCATACCTGTGGTTTAGGATGTGGTCAAGGGGTTGCAGGCCAACTGCTACAGACGGAAATCCGTGAATGAAGGTGTGTGAAAATATGCAAATTAGGGGGGGTAATATCTGCGATCGTGTTTGGATTGATAGGCGTCTGCAGCACCTGGCTGGATTTTGTCACCCAGTAAAAATTCTCTTTGCATGCTCTGAATCATTCCTTTAAAGAGAATGGAAATTATATTTACCTTTCCCCTGCATTTTCAATTGAGTTTTTACCCTTTCTTGAATGATGATGAGGTTGTGCCCTCATCAGTATGTGTCCATGTTCTGATCGATCCAAAACCACAATTGAGTTTAGGGATTTGATTTGATCATACAAGGAAATGTCATTCAATCTATTTGTTTTTTACACTTACTTATTCCAGTTCAGTGACGATGGGGGTCTATAGCCTGTCACTAGAGACCCTGGACAGGTCATCAATGAGTCACTGGGACAAAACTCAATATAAACCAGAAAGTACAACAGTTTGACTGGCGGTTTTAAAGACTGGCCAACTGATAAGGAATGAAAGGAATCCCGATGGTCGACTGTTGTTTTCTTTCCCAAAGCTGTTGCACTTTCCTGGGATTGGATTGTGTCAGTGTGGATTAGCAATGGCAACGCACACGCTCAGCAGGGGTCGTTAGACAGTTAACATTGTGTTGATGCTCCTTGCTAACCCCTCCGAAAACCTCTCTCTTCTTTCTTTAATTCACTGTGGAATCGAGCTGGATGTTATTATGTTCCTGTTATTACGTCTATGACATGAGGCACTGTTGTGATGCATTGTGCGCGTGGGTTTCCATAGCCCAGAGATGCTATATTGAATCATTTAGCAACATTTGTGTGTTGTTATGATCTGTAAACTAATAAAATGGCTTGTGGTGTGTCAAATATATATGATGAGTGGGGTGATTTTCTCTGCTGTTGGTTCAGTTTTTTAAAAAGGCAATGAAGAAATTGGAGATAATTTCTTCATCTCCAATCTCATAAATAATTTTCTTACTGATTATGCTGTACTTTATTGAATATCTGCCTGAGATCTCTACCCACTCTACCATAGTGTGCCATTGCGTCTTTCCAAACTTGATACAATGTCTCAAGTATTTAAAAAAATGATAGCCTATGCTCCAAGGAAATGAAAACAAACAACAAAACTATTTCTACAAGCGCACAAGTGAAAAATGTGTGTTATTGCAAGATAAAATGATAACTTGATAGCTAATGTTTGGCAGCGTTTACATGGATATGGAGATACTTGTTTGGTCACTTCAAGGCTGTATCCAAATAAGGTTATGGGGGACATTATATTGACAGGAAGAGACTAAAGAAGATGTGTAGGGGGAATAAAAAGGGAGATAAACTGCCTGAACATCAGCATGCTCAGTTAAGCTGAAGCATTCTGCTTGTCAGCTATAAGACATTTATTTTCACGCCTTCTATGGGCTGCCTCTTTGCAGCTGTTTGCGATCAGTTGATTGATTTCCAAAGGGATAATATGCTTCAGGATCTCGGCGGATAAGAGGGAATTATTGTAGCGTCAAAACAGACAGTGGTGATTTTTTCTGTGAATAGTGGAGGCTGTCTGAGAAAATATTTTCCCTTTGACATCACCACTTCCTCTATTGGTTTGCATAATTGTACAGTCTGTTTTGTCACGGTAATAGTGTGATTATTTAAGTAACAATACTTAAGTGTGCCACACAAAAAGTTAATTTATGATTGCGGGTTTCGGAGAAAATGTCTGATTGTTTTATTGTTTTCTATTACAAAACACAGATTGTCTAGTTTTTATGAGAAGTGCACCATGTTCAGCAAAAGCCAGCATTAACTATAACCAGCCGACTCATCGACCCATCAACCAGTAATGACAAGTGTCTGCGTTTGATATCTTTATTAATAATATTTGCTTTTCTGCTGGTTCTTTGTGTGAGAGTGACATTGTGCCACTTAAGCTCAGTCATGTTTCATCACTGCAGGATTTGAAGGAATCTGTTATTTACCAAGAAGTTTCATTTAAACAAAACAAATAAGCTGATTTATGACAGATAAATCAGGGCATTTGTAACACAAGTTGAATTTCCCTTCAGATGACAATGTGGCACGCTGTTATTATTCTTCTGCGCAGCTCCGGCCTCATTAAATGAAACTCTGTCATCATGGCAAATGACAGACATTTTCTGGCTGGGGTCTGCCTCTTCATTGTGGGCTGATGAAAGATCGAGCTGTCATTTAGTTAAACCCTTAAAGTACTTAAAAGGTTCAGCCATCCTTCCTGATTGACTGACAGGAGCATTACACCAGTTGTCTTTTGGCATGCTTAAAGACTGGATGATAGATGGACAGATTAGAGATTCTTCTTGGGTAACCCTACAACTCCCAAATGTTGTGGCACATATGAAAATAACACACACACAAAGCTATTCCTCCACGTAAATTTGTTACCAGACTGTAGAGGGCTCACTGGATGACGAGCAACCTTGAGCCTCCTCAGTTGAGTTTTTAATTTTCGGATTATGGAGGAAACATGGAGTCAAACTTTCAGCTGTAGAGAAGGAAGTTTTCCCTAAATGGAAAGCTCTGTTTAAGATAAAAAAGAGAGACTTCTTTGCCTCATGTCAAGTATAATGACATCCAGCTGGAGGTTGCTGCGGGGCAATGCAGCCAGCGCTGAAGCACCATTTCTGTGTGCCCCTTCATCTTTTCACCTTTTTAGCCGCCATTTGCCTCTTGAGTCGGTGACACTATCAAAAGGTTATTCATTTAACTGTGTGTGGTCTTTATGGACTGATGCGGAGGCAGCTTTAACCGTGCTTTTGAGTCTGATTTTGCTTCTTGTCAAAGTGGTATATGCTATATTTCAGTCCATTTTAATCCATTACATTAATGCATCCTTAATTTGGCGTTTGGCTACCTTTAAAATACCCTGGGAGCAGATATCTCTCTGATGCCCAAGGGCCCCAGTTTGCTCAGATCTTTGGTTGGGCAGGGGTTGAGCTTTGCTTTGTGTCATCATGTAGCTTGTTATGTGTGCATCTGGCTGCTGGAACAGCTGTTTGTCCTGGGTGGTTTTGGCATGACATGGTGCGGTCCGGGGTCAGACTTTGTGTCACATTGTTCGGACCCAGTGTACTTCTGTGGTGGCCTGGTTACAGCCAAGACGACCGGCTTGAGAGTGTGCTAATTGCACGGTTGTGGTCTGAGGGAGGCAGCGGTGCACTCACTGCAGCAAAATGGATGGAAGGATGGGTTTTTGTACTGCTGTAACCCATGATCATGGTAATCTATAAATGGGCACATCTCTTTGTAGTGCTTAAATGGACGACATAAATCTTCTTTTAACTCCAGCTGTGTAGTGTCCTGCTGACTAAGTTGTCCCTCTGAGTCAGCACAAGTCAGAAAATAGAAGGAATGGTGAAAGAATTCACCGTAATTGAGCCTTTCCTAAGATGCATTTTTGTATTTTTTCTGCATCCACTCTGTCAATATCTGTGCTCCATAAGCAATATTGTCTTTAAATGTTAAGTGTCATTGTAATTTTTAAATAGCTAACACCCCTAACCCTTTGTCTCTCTTCTCTTCATTGCAGCAGAACCAGCAGACCTCTTGAAGATTTTAGATTTTCACAGTTTACCCGAGGGTGTTACAAAAACAACGGGTTTCTGCTCAAATAGAAGGTCAACACAAGGCCCCGATGTGGCTTACAGAGTATCCGAAAGCGCCCAGCTCAGTGCCCCCACCAAACAATTGTACCCAGGTGAGTATCTGACTGAACCCACCTGTCTACATCTTTCTACATCCACAGTAGAGATGTTCCATCTCATACATCAAACAGATAAGCTCAAAGATATATAAATCATACTTTCCTGCGCTGCACCTCATTTGAGCCTCTACAGATTATAGCTTTTACATGATCTTCATTTTTTCCTTATTAAAAAAGAGGATTAGATGGATTTGCAGGAGTCAGTCTACTTCTTTGCTCCTGCAAATTTGTCATTATGTCAACTCTACTTTCCCACTGTTTTAAACCCGAAGAGCCTGCTTTTTTTCCTTCTAAATGTTTATCTTTAGTATTCCTACACCTTCTTCTAAAAACAGTCCAATTTATCTGTTAATGAGACATATTGAAGAATGAAAGATAATGCCTGCTCCTGGATAGGGTAACCGATTTGTAATATTTGATGCTGTTTGAGGAGCTGGACGGAACAAAAGTGAAGGAAACCGGGGTTGCAGAGGAGAGGGAAGCCTCATTTTCCACTTATGCCTTGTTCTATTGTGCTGACGTGGCTCAGAGCTGCTCCTTCGGTGTGCGCTCTGCAATAGTACTTTCCTCTCTGTCTCCTCCTTCTCCTGCACTTTTTCCTAGCCTCTCTTTTCCCCTCAAGCATCATAATTTTCCTCTCTGTCATTTCTTTCAAGACTACCGCTGCCTCGCCGTGATCTGTTCCTCTGTTGGTCTGTGTCCGTACCTTGTGTTGAAACACTGTAGTGGTCCAGATAGAGACAGAGAGGGAAATAATAACCCTTCCAGTAATCTGAGCTTCCACAAAGCTTAGATTGGATGACATCCCCTTTCCTGGTCCTCTCGGCTGCTGCACTGGCCTTAGTGGACCTTTGATCCATGGCATAACTCTTTCCTTTGGGCTTAACGTCGAGCCACCGGGCTTCTGTGGCCTGCATGCCGCTACGTGCGTTTGTTCACTTTGATGCTCTATGACAGTGCAGCTCCGTACGGGTCTTTGTTTAGACACACGTTCTATAATTACACACAGGCTGCTCTGGATCATCCAAAATAACAGTCTACATAAAACTACCCAACTGGAGGGGTTCACAATAGGCACCGCATAGTCTTAAGGTGCAAACAGAATAACTAGCAGTCTGGGACTTGAAGGCTTAAAATCCACTCCCAGCCTTTGTGATGTGGCCCCTTTTTTTTGCCAAAATGTAACAAGATTGTCCTGCTAATATATTCCAGAGGGCAGCTAAACCTGTGAGATCATTTCTTAAGTTTGTTAGGGGAGTTATGGCTTTCAGCAAAAGCCCAATCATGCTGAAACCTCACTGAAAGGTTAGAAATAAAGATGCATGCAGGACACTATTTAAAAGGACAAAAGGCGTGCAAGCATGATCCTTTTGTTTTGGCTATAGTGTTGGTAATAAAAAGCACAGCAGCTCCGATTGAGAACACACCGGCCCATGACCCCATAGCCACAGACAGTTTGAGATGATGTGCTGGAAAAGAGCAAGTACAGACATGCAATCACTAGTCAAACATGTGGAAGAGATGATTCATTTGAATCTACAGTGGCGCTGAAGACAGAGGAGACCTTTCTTACCTTTATTAAGGGAAGCAGGAGGAAAATGTTCTGCTCCCTTTAATTTTATGTAACAAAAACAATGCCAATGCTATTTAGTGTTTAATAACAGCCAACCAAAAGCAAGAAAATGTTAATGCAGGAGCCCTTCCATTTGGTCTGAATGGGATAGGCTAAAAATTCCACTCTTTAATATACAATAATGTTCTCTGTACACAGTTGCAGCTGTGTCTTGCCACTCAAAAGAGATGCAAGCCAATCCTTCTGCTTATTCTGTACTATTTTCCTCTTCTTATTCCATACCAAACCTTGCTGGCGCATGTGGATCATGTTCAGAGAACAAATGATTCCTACAGAATGAAGAAGCTAGTCTCACTAAGCTGACTTTGGGAGTTATAATGCAACTTGAAACAAACCAGCTCATTTAACTTTGTTTGTGAAGTCTATTTGGAATCTGATTGTCATAATTCTTCATTTATTAATTGTAAATGATTGAGGCAAAATCACAGGTAACTTTGATGTTTATAAAATTGATAGTGTCTTGGAAAATGATACATGAAACATATGAATGTTTGAGAGACTTTAAACAAATGTAAGTTTGCAGGTTTTATTCAGTTAGCAAACATGACACGGTGTTGCTGAAAAATATCAGGCAATTCTTTCTTAAATTGACCACAGAATCAATAATTTAGTCTTCATGCCAATCTTAATCTTACTCAGCAACATAATCTTATTCATTATCACCTGGAAACTATATGCACATTTTCTGGTGTCAACACACCAAAAGAGAGTGTCAGATCAGAGGTTAATGTTATATATAAGATTAATATTCTATTCGTTTTGCACTTTAAATGATCTTAATTTCATCTCAACCTTTGATGTTTCGACAAAAATCAAACAGCAGCTTTATTTAGTTTCTTCTAAGCAGAGAAGCCTATGTACGGCTCTTTAACTTACGACTGACCCTTCCGTTAAGGCCACTTGTACTTAGTTAACTCTGCATCAAAATGGAGTACAGCTGGAATGCAGAATGGCTCATGCAGTGGGAGGGAACTGTACACAGAAGGACCAATTACAGGACGCAAGACTTTCTACCCCATTTAACTGCTGCTTGTATGCTCTCTGACAGACGGGCATCAGTCATTTGGTAACACAACTCCTGCCTCTCCCTGATGTTTGGGCTAGCCAAATTACTCATTTTATTCAAGGTTTAGCATGAAACCCCTCACTTCCAGCACTGGTACCAAAGACTTTGTGCTGACTACAGTCAATATAAATTAGTTTTCTTTTTATCAAAAAAATGTAGGACTCTTTATTCTGTTGTTGAAACAGTCCCTGTCGTTCCTCTATTTCATTTCCACTAGGGGTGGAGATGCCAGTTAAAACACCCAATATTTCTCACAGCCAAGCATTTCCATTACCACTGCCTCAACATAGACAAACACAAAACAAACTTTCACAAAGAATGAGGACTGTTTTATCTCTCCGCTGCTTGCCTGAAGTGGCAGGTTTAGTCACATTCCAGAGAAATGTCATTTTTGAAGGTTTTTACATTTATATTCCGTCCTCATTCGATGCACCAGTCAATGCAAACACACAGTATTTACACTATATACATTTTCCATATTCTACAAGTAAACTAAATTATTCTTTCATTTTCATTTGTATTTTAGTTATTCCCCTTTTCGACCACAACCCTGCTTGCTTTTCATTGTTCTCTTCCAATTGTTCCAATTCAGCCCTCAGCTGACCTTTACCCCCCCCCCGCCCATTACTCTCCAAAAAAAGAAAAAGAAAAAAAAAGCAAGAAAGAAAAACAAATCTGCCTCTCCTCGGCCGCCTAGCACTGGTAGACTGAATTAACATACAAAAGAATATTGCTACAAAACCCTACGAAAGCTTTGAAGGCTTGCCTCCTGTCTCGCCTTCCTTTTTCTCTTGCTCTTTTCTCGGCTGCTCAGCTGAAGGATCTGTCAATTAAAACAATATTTCTCCTATGATGGCAAGCAGAATTCCAGGGAGAGCACACTGCCAAACCATGTGCTCTCTGCATGATGTGATTTGAAGCCTGGCATTAATAAAGGAATTATAGAAAAAGGCAGAAAGATGAGACAGAAAAGTCACACAGAAATCCACTTTCTGACTGGAAGAGACGATTCAAAGAAAGAATAAAGAAAAAAGAAAAAGAAAAACAGATAACAGTAGCTATTGTTTTGCTCTTTTATTTTCTCTTCTCACTTGGACATCTCTTCCTACACAACCTATGATTGACAATGAGGACCCACAATTTAAAATTTTCCAGAACAACAGAGGGATGCTTGATTTAAAGAGGTTTGGCTGCGTATGGCCATCATAAAATGAACCCTGATGGTTTTAATATGCCTAGATAAAGTCTTTTTTTTTTTCCAAATCGGAGAAATAAATGGAAAGGTAATGTGTTGTGTGAATCCTATCCTTAGATAGTTGGTAAGCCACTTTTGCTTTTGGGATCCCATCTGCATCCAGCTAAGGAAATTTGTCTGACAGATGTGCTCCATACTTTGGCAAAAAAAACAGAAATATTTGAGGCTGCTCAGTGGAACCATGCAGATGGAGGTTAACACATTTTTTCATATCTTTCATGTGCTCACATACCAGTTTATTGTTGGCATTTCCATTTCCAAATAAACGCTTCTCTAACTATTTCTCCTGTAAAAATTCTTTCTGCTCTCCAAGCCGTCACTGGAGAGTCTTGGTGTCTGTTAGATGCATCAGCGGCAAGAGAGGAGAGAAGTAGAGAGGAGGGGTTTGACGAATAGTTTGACAGAGTCTCCCAGGATCACATGTTTTTGTCATTATTGCCTCTCATCCTGTGCTCTGCTGGAAATCATCCACTTTGTTCTTCTTCAGACTTTTCTGTTCTTTTTTTTTTCCTACAGCCTCTAGCCCGCCAGCCTTTATAATTGTATACTGTTACATTTTGGGCACTCTGCTCTTTGTCCTTTTGGAACTCAAAGCCTATCTTACTAATTCCTCGCATTGAACTGATCTTTGTCTGTTTAAATAACAGTAAAAGCTTTATTCTCCCTCCCAACAATTATATCCCAAGCACGTTCTAGTATTTCATTCTGCTTATGGTGATCAATGGTTACTCTGGCGCATAACTCTCCAAAACTCCTTTTTTTTGTTTCCAACCAACTATCTGTCCTTTCAGGTGATGTCTTCCCTGAGGATTTTTCCATCTTGGCCACAGTGAAGCCTAAGAAGGGCAGCCAGTCCTTCCTCTTGTCTGTGTACAATGAGCAGGGCATCCAGCAGCTCGGACTAGAAGTGGGCCGTTCTCCTGTGTTCCTGTATGAGGACCACACAGGCAAACCCAGTCCCGAGGACTACCCCCTTTTCAGAGGAGTCAACCTAGCCGATGGAAAGTATGTGCACTCACCCTTGCTTCACCCCCCCTCATTTGTACATTATGCTTGAATAATCAAGTGTGAGGCTTTGCTTTTTGTTTATGCATCTTGCCGTCTAATTAGGCTTCAGGAGGATATGACAGTCCGTTTATTTTTCAGTTTATTGGTGAGCAGCACCTGAACCAAGTGTCTCCGATTTATTTTTCATCACAGATTTGCCTTATCGTACTTTTAGTCCTCAACAGTGTAATTTGTGCCCAGCGTCAGTGTAGGTTTCTCGATCAAAACAAGAGAGGCTCAAATAAAAGAGTCACTTCGGAGGACAAGAGTGGCATATATTTGAATTTGACCAGACAAACACAAAAGAGGTCATTAGACTGTTAGCGTGCTGTAATAGGGCTGCATGTAACCCAGTAAGTGTGTGAATGAACTTACCTCCCGTTCTAGGTGGCATCGAGTGGCCATCAGTGTGCACAAGCAGACCATCACCCTCATTCTGGACTGTAAAAAGAAGACCACCCAGAAGCTGCTCAGGAGCCCCCACCCCATCATTGATACCAAAGGAATTATCGTGTTTGGAACTAGAATACTTGATGAAGAAGTCTTTGAGGTAGGCATCATCTGCTTCTTTTGAAATAATGTAAATATGTGATTATGCAGTTGATCAGATTAATTTGGATTTTGGATAGCTACCTGAATGACAGATTACAGTGAGTTTCCACTTTACCATGTCCACTTGTTGATTTTGATCAAGTAAGATCAAATAAGCTGTGTTTGCACACATGTCCACTTGCTAGTATTTTTTTACCCTACAGTACACAAACTTCAAATCGATTTTTTAGCAATTGAAATAAAAGCAAAGTAGAGCCCTCGTGCTCTTGTCAGAACAGACTCATGCGACTGTGGTGTGAGCGGTCATCACCAGTGACCATTCTGCCTCTCATGCTCCATAAATTGAGGGACCGTGGTGGCGGCCACATCCTGTTTCTGGTGGGCGGCTTTGGCTCGAGTAGCCTCCAATATCAGATCCACCAACCTCTGCTACCTACTCCAATTCATGCACACAATCACAAATCAAACTTAATGTTTAGGTGCCATGATTTCCATGCCGTCCACAAATGAGCTCTGCATCCCGCAATTTCTGTTCTGTTTCCAAACATGTTCCATGTGTCCGCTGCTCTACGCCGCGCGTGGTGAGCGTTTTAGGGCTCCCACCTCATTGTGGCTTCCGAAAGCTAGCGTCGATCTGACTCTACTTCTTCTTTGGGCTTCCTTTGGGATCCTTTGCCTGAACAGGCTGCCACATTTTTGTCTATCAAAGTTTGTGAAACAAGCACTTACATGTTTTTTATTATTAGAATGAAGGGTTCTGATGATAGCAAAGTCTCTGTGACATGAGGCGTCAGATTGTTAACTCTTAACTGTTGATCAGATGCCAGTTTTGTGTTTACGTTACAGGAAGTTATCTGATATTATTCGATTACAACTTGTTTTACTTAATGTTACAAGTATGACCTCATTCGGATTGCTCCTATAGTGAGTTTTTGTGGGAATATTTGTGGCTTTTTAAAGCGACTGTTGTGAGGGATGCATAGACTAAAAGCACAGGGCACAAGGAATAGTGTTGTCTTTGTCCCTTTAGAGTTGTGCTTGTTTAAAGGGGGATTAGTCTGTGAGGCCGAGGCCCTCAGTAATAATTAGTAACAGAGACTGACTGATGTGACTGATGCTGGGCCAGATGACCTTTAACCTTAGCTGTGCTGAGCATGAACAGATAAAAAGAAAGAAATATGACATCACCTCCCTCTGAAATCCCCAAAGTTTAGGCTGCAAAGCCATAGGAGGGATAGATATATGGCAGGATGTAAAAGTCAAAGTCAGGATGCCTTGTTTTTAAGCAGAGCCACAAATCGTTTGTAGCCCCGCATCCAAACCCAGATGAATATTTTTCAAGAAAAACACATCTGTAAGTTGTGAAATTTCACTAAATAACGTTATGGGAAAATGTGGCTTATGAGTTAAGCAGGAAGTACAGAACTATTCATGAGCTGTGTTCTTTCTACTAGCAAAACTGTGGACTGTTTAATGAGGCATAAATACAGATGTGTTGTGGCATGCGCATGTTTGCGTGTGCATTGTGTGTTGTGCCTATTTCCCCTGATGGCTGTTTGTTAATTCCTCCGGTTGCCAACAAGATGACTGCATTTATCCAGTTGTAATTCTGCTCCAGTTCTAATCTTTGCCAACTATGACACACGGTACTCAGCGTCAGGTGATAAAGAAACAGCTTAAGTCTTAACCACTTATCAGAGTCACAGTTACAGCCTGGTGGTTACCGTGGGAGCGGGGAGATAGGTTGTGAGGGATGTTTAAAGCCCTCCTGCTGAGTGTCTGCCAGTTGGGAGACAGGACAGGCTCCAGAGCGTGTAGAAAATGGAAAATATGCCACATACTTTCCAAATTATGCTCAGGCTGCGCTGCTTCCCGCCCCGTACTCCCTTTCGCTCTTTGTAGTTTAGTCTGATCCTGTGTTGACTTTTGCCAGAGTCAGCTACCACCAAGATGTGGTCAGCATGAAAACACACACACACACACACACACACACGCTCACATTTTACTGTTCGGCCAATTAAGTTTCAGTTGGCTGAGAGGCCTGCGATTTTCACCTAATCTCTTCAGGAAAAACCTTCCTCCACATTCGATTTTTCACCTTCGATCAACAGGGAAACATTAAAATAATTGACTTAAAGTTAAAATAGAAAACTTCATTTTAAGGACAAAGGAAGGATAATCTAATTGGCAAATACTAAATAGTTTGTTTCATCTTTGTGCGGATTTTTTTTATTTTTTTTTTATTGGAGTTGTGCGTTTTTCTTCTGTACAGCAGTCAGAGGATAAGTGGTACTTATATGCTGAGGTGGTTTGTGGTTTGGTCTCTAACAAGGTTATTGTGGTAACAAACAAGCTCTCTACCACTTATAAGAACTAAAATGTTTTTTTCTTAGTTGCTTATATAAGAGTGCTGCGCTTGTGATTTTGCCAGTGGGAGATGATTAAAGGAGTGTTTATGTGTTGATGTAAGACTGTTGGTATTTACCACTTAATCAATGCTCATATGTTGCAAATGAAGCAGCAAGTCGGGGTAAAAATCAGCTCCTGATTTCCTTTGCCTTTAGCAAACTCTAGCCTGTTTTTCCAAATGACTGCAGGATAGACGTCGATACCTAAATGTAATCTTGTGATTTCCCTGCTAACTGTTGTTTCCGAGCCCATTTGCCAAAAAAAAGAGAGAAGATTTAATGCCTGTGCTTTGGTCCTTGGTGGCATTCGGTGAAATAAATGTTTGTGGTCGGTCTGAGGGAACAGAAGTGGGACACATGGACCACTTGGCCTCACACAGAGCTAATCCACAGGGGACGGCGAATGAATTGAGGTGGCTGAGGTGGAACACAGTAGTTCTTGTCTGGCCTGTGTTTTTTTAGCCAAAACGGAGCAAGAACCTCTTAATCTTGATGATATGTTGAGTTTTTTTTCTTGGAATAACAGACAGTTGTTCTAGTGAGAAGAAGAGATGGTGCACTTTTAAGGGTTAATAGGGGGTAGTGGGCTGGGTTAGCTGGAACAACAGGTTTGGTTAGAGGGGCCAAACGGTTTGGGTCATACTCTGGAAAGAATGAGGCGCTCTCTCCCCTCTGATGTCAGTCTTGGAACAGCAGCCGTACCACATGACATCATCCAGAGGTTTCCTTGGTATCCACTAATAGATTGTCCACGGCTATTGTGGGAGAACAGGTAACAAAGTGTGATGAGGTTCAGATGCTAAGAGTTTTAAAGATGGGATATTTGGGGGAGTCGGCATCAGCGTGATAAGGGAAGAGGATTAGTGCAATAAGTTGGGAAGTTTTTAATAGTACTGAGACAAACTTATATGTGGGGCTCCCAGGGTGCAACCAGTGCCAGGAAAAAGTAGTAAAACACACGCAACACATGAGCTTGATGCTCGTAATGAGCTTTTATATTCTAACAGCCTGATGAGTTTTACACATCCTGTTTCCTCATTTTTACTTGAGGACTTTTCATCATATTTTTGCAATTCAGTCAGTCTATTTGCAGTTCATGTGCTTCAGTTAAAAGAGGCAAACATGGAGAGGATGATATTTATTTGAAGTTGATTTTCGTTACTCTATGCTGTGGCTGAATTTAGTTCAGTTTTCAGTTCTGGTGTGGCAAAGTTTTCCACATCTTGTGTTTTATTTTTTTGTCTCCCAATAGATCCATTCAGTAGCTTTTTGAATTTGAGTCCCTGTTCTCTACAAATGTGTCTGGCCCTCAGATTTGTGTGATAAAAAAAACAGTAACAGTTAGCTCCCTGTTTAATGCATGGATAATGGCTTCTCTCCTGGAGCCCCATTAGAGCAGAGCTGGAAATTTGATGCCCTGCCTGGGCCTTCATGGCAGCTCCGATAAAAAATTATGAGAAAGTATTAAGCCCTTGTTTGCACAGGAGGAGAAAAAAAATCTATCTGGGACTTAAGATTTGTATTTATGTGGATTTTGTCATCAGACATTTTGACAATAAATAAATGGTTCAGAATGCATTTAAGCTAAACAATGAAAAGTAAAAAGCTCTGGGAGCTCATTTTTGTGTAAAAGTGAACAATAAAGATGGAGAGGTGTATTGTGAATCATAGCAAAGCAATGTGAATAAAAAAGAATGAGCAAACATATATTCCAGTTTGTCTTATCTGACTGTACATATCATAGGTTCATTGGCTCTTTCTTCAAATTCCCCCCATCACACAGAGATTTGCTCTTTTTCCTGTTGAAATTGTTGCGTTGGTGGATTTTGATACATTGCTTTATGTCCTGATCAGGAATTTGATCCTTAAATTTAGCTTTTGTTTGTCTTCAGACTGTCAACTGACACATTGTTCAACACGTATCACAATGACCATCACCTGAATGAATAACTCATCAGAAATGATCTGCCTCAGCAATCAAATGCTTTCTTTATTTGCAGCTAAACTGAGACTTATTCAAAAATATGTCTCTTGACTTTCTTTTAGCCGGGTTACATTCGGATGGCTGCAAAGTTATTTATCCATCTGTCGGTTTAGCGCCATCATGGCAGCATCACAAAGTCAAACTCCAGAAGACGCAGATGGTTTTGCATGAAGATAATGCCTGATCGTGTTCAGACTGTTATAACATCTGTCTAAAAGTGGACAGTGGTTTTGTCAATTATGTACTTAGAAAAGCATTATAAGTTTTCATTTTTGTAATTCAATTTCTCTGACTTGCATTGTCCAGAGTCATATGTCATGCATCTCTCACTGAACAGAGTACTTTTATACCTTTATGTTAGACTCCGGTAGCTCCAGGGTAGATGGACTTTCCACCCTGTATAATTAGGTGAATTTCCATAACTCATGTCAGATGTTTGTCTTTCACCCCCTTTTTCTCTATGTTATTCCTTCACTGTGTCAGCAAACCTCGAAGTGTGCCCTCAGCACTTCTTATGTAGATTTCAGCAAAATTCCAAGCCAAACACCAAGGACCAACGTCTCTGAGGTGTTGGTTTCCACTTTCCCAAATGAACGGGAAATGGGAATATGGCCGCCCGTCGTCCTCAGAGATGGGGGATTAACAGTAGTGAGCGCTGTGGGGGCGGGGGCACTGAGTGCTGAAACAGTTAGGAAGCCCTGAAGTTATTCCAAAAAAAGAGACGGTGGCAATTAGATTAGCGTACGGGTAACGTGGTGTGAGCCGGATAAGAGGGGTGGCAGACAGACCTGTTTCTCTTGGCTGCAGCTGGGAGGGCTGAGCTTTTTGCTCCAGTCTGAAAGGGAAAGTCTCCGTGGGTGAAAATGCAGTTGATGTCTGGTGAAGGCTTAGATCTGGGCCGCTGCGTATCTCTGCATGTGCATGCTCACAGAGGAAATCTTACGTGTTGTTTGTTTGATTTATGCCCACTGTGCAGCGAGCAGACCTCTGCAGTGTGCTGTTTGGTGTTGTTGGTTGGGTTGGAGAATGCCCAGGACTGCACCACTATGTGTTGGCTGTTGGGCTGATGACATCTCATAAGAAAAATAGACTTACCTTTCCTCCTTTTAGCTGCTGTCACAGCGGTGACATGTTGGAGATCTACAGACTTTATCAGATGGCCTTGGGAATACGAGAAATAATCAGGATTGACATCCTCTGTGTATTTAATTTTCTCTAAGCTTAAGACAGGGGAAATAATATTGGGTTCTGAAACAGGCAAAGGGATCTACAGGGCTAGCATGAGCTGAAGGCCAAACTCTAATTAAAACAGAAAACAGCTATTTGGATGCTTTTTTAAAGAAAAGGTGCATTATTCATTTGACAATTTAACATCTTCTACATCATTTTACCTCTTTTGATCCTGTTCATTAAATCCTGATACTTTTAAAGCCAATGTTGCCTTTCATCACTTGTATTATATTCAGAAAAAAGGAACACAATGAACTCTGTCCACCCAGCATCGTTGTGGGTCAGATTCAGATGAGGACAGATTTTTGGCTAGGTGCTCCCCAGAGCACTCTCCTGCCCCCATCTGGACACAATCAGAAAGTCCAAAGGGGACAAAACAGGGTGAGGTTGAGAAATGCAAACCGAACCATGACATAATCTTTTTTTTATGTGTGTTAGAATGCAGCAACGATTGAATGAGAACAACAATTTTAAGTTTGTTCTGCTTCAGGAAGCTGGCTGTCAGATGAATACCTGCACTCCCCAGCAGATTGCTATGCATGATCTGTGTGTGTGGGAGTGTGTTCATTTTAATATGAATGTATGTCAAGTGAGGTCAGGTGTTAATAACAGCCAGAGGCAAAGGCTGTCCCAAAAGTTAAAACAAGGAGGGCTTTGGCGAGGAGAGGAGTCAGATTTCATTGGAGCTAAAGGAGATGCTCACAACAATAGGCCTGTTATTGTTTAAAGATTCAGCCACTTGCTCCACTCCTATGTGTCTGATGTGCCAGATGCTGCTCTTGATTAAAGAAAGACGTATCTGAGTTCTAGTCAGACACTATGGTCAATTGCATTGCATCTTTGCACCACCATACTTTTCTGTGGCATTCTACAATTAGAGGTGACTTATTTACTTTTTTTTTCAATTTGTGTACCCTGCTTTGGTTGGGTTTTGTTTCTGCTTACTTTGCAAGTAGTTCTGCAAAGTGATAATCTAAAAGGATTCAAAGAATCAAAGCCCTTTTTCATTTCAGATTTTTGCATTCGGGTTAGATCAATCCTAGTACATCCCGAATCCCTGAATCTGCAAATACTGAAGTTACTGTGACAATGTAACATCCATTTAAAGTAATGGATAAACTCTACAGCACCAAGGCACAAAGGAAGAAAAATTTGGCATTAGCTTGTGGCTGGTGTACAGCGTAATGATATCTACTGCTTTCCATCCATCCATCAATTTCTTACACCGCTTACTCTCAGCAGGGTCGTGGGGGGGTTGGAAGGCCTGCAGCCTATCCCAGCTGACAAAGGGCGGGAGGCGGGGTGCACCCCGGACTGGTCGCCAGTCCATCGCAGATTTACTGCTTTTCTGTATCTGTAAAACAGCAGCTTATGTAACATTTGGCAGAGTCCATTAAGCGACGTGTGTTGAAAAGCTCAGAAATAGGAAATCAGAATCAGCCCTGGTGTCGTGTCATTTTGGAAAAAGACTTTAACAATAGGGAGGGAGTAAAGCTTTCAAGTCATGCAGATTATATGGTTCCTCATCACTCTCTTTATGTGATCCAAACCAGATTCCAAAAGATCCATGGACACAACATTTGAATTATTGATATACAATTACTTCCATGCTTAGTTTTACTGTTTGGTAAAACATTATAAAGGTCCACTCAGATTTCACATGTTATTTGTCAGAGACTAAATGAACTTCAATGGGTATCAAAGTGTTGCCCATACTTTTTACTCTTTTATATTCCTTCAGTTGTAGAAGAGGTACCATAAGATGAAGACATCTTCTTTCCAACTTTTAGTAACGCTTCTTTTATTTCTGCACCAAGCTTCTTTCCTCCCGGTGTCACACATCATTAACCACATTTTCCCAGGATGCTCTTGGGGTGTTCTCATTAAATCGTGGGTATATAATTAATTATCTCATCTTGCCGAATTTGGGATCTCACCGCTTGCCCGTATAATGTACCTTGACATTATTCTGGCTGCTCAGGGAACTGAGGGGAAGCGAACATAGAGAAAAAAGACGAAAAGAGAAATCCACAAGAAGGGATTGAATAGAACACCATTTGCAATGCCTCAGACTGCAGGGCTGTTTTGTTGTACACAGGGCTTATTTCTTATTGAGTGTGACCTCATTTTCAGCACTGAGTTTCAGCACAGCTGTGACATACGGTTTTACTTGAATGAAGGAGACAGCGTGTTAAATTGATACTGATCCACAGCTGAGAGGCAGATATTTGAGAGTTTCCTGGGAGCCTGGAGTTCTTGTTTGAAAGCACTGTCTAATGGCTACTCACGTCCCTCTGTTTTGGAGGAAAGGGTTGATTTTCCTGGGTCTGTTATAAACCCCACTGACAACATAAGCACCAGGAAGGAGACATCTACTTGGGAGGGCGTTGCAAAGATTATCAAAAGATCTCGGACGGGGACTGCTCAAATCTTGTAGCGCTACTCCTGTGTGCATTTTCATGGATTTGACCACAAATGCAATTAATTCCTGTTTGTAAAAAGGAAAAAAAAGAGGAAAACTATCCACGGAGAATTTCAGCTGGAAAGACAGTATAGAGAGATTTCTAACTTTTGCCAACTGGACATAATTAAAAACACTTTATCCTCAGTGCTGCTCTGTTCTCGTAGATGCATCTCCTGCCCTGTGAAAATATGTTTGCTTCAGCTATGTTGAATCTTTGCTTGATTAATGTAAAATGACATCACTGGGTTTGGAAGTGTGATCAGGATGTGTTTGGATAGAAGTAGCGGAGCGTTTTAGTGCCATACACATTCTTTTGAGGAACATGTGGCTTACACACCCAGCTCCCTATGTAGCCTGGGGATCCTTCCGAGCCTTTGCTTTTCTCCCTTGTTCTCTCCTGCTCACTTTCTATCGAACTTGCCTGTCCTGTCTCTTTTCTTATGGGTATTCTTTTTTCTTACATTTGTAGACTTGCTACTCTTCCAACTCAGTCTCTCAGTGTGTATATCATCCAAAGTCAGATGTTGCAGGTCGGTCCCCTGGTGCTCCGTGTTGACCCACTCGTCCTACGGTTGTCATCACAACAAAATCATTCATGTTCCTTGATGATCAGGGTGGACCTTGCATGCTCTGTAAATTCCTGTCATCCATCCTGTTAAATAAACACTGCTGGTGTTTGTGTGTGTGTCTTCATCTGTAAGATTTCAGCTGTTATATACTCTCCTTTAATTCCACACTGCTTTCTGGAGGTTATTTTGGAGCTCAACTATGGTGCAAAATGGCCCTTTTGGACCCAGAACACTATTCCTCATCATTGACTCACCCTCAACTTGACCTAGTTTCAGGATTGCCTGCTCTTAAGCCCTGCATCACATCTCACATGTTCAGATGTTGGTGATTTCATGATTCCGTAAGAGTGTCAAACCCTTGCCTCGGTCACTCTCTGTTGTTTGTTTATGTACATGCTTGTTACTGAGGAGTTTCCAACCAATTTCCTGCTTCTTTTAATCTCCAGGGAGACATCCAGCAGCTAATGATTGTAGCAGACCATCGTGCTGCCTATGACTACTGTGCGCACTATAGCCCCGATTGTGAAGTGCCAGTGCCGGACCAGCCACAGAACCAGGATCCTAACGTGAGCAAAATGACATTGCTTATTTTGTCACCTCTTCTGTGTTTATAATTCAAATGTTTAAGACTTTAGATGTATCCCTGTAACTGACTGGTAACCCTTATCAGGGGTAGCTCTGATGGAGATTTGTGGGATAAAAACTGCTGGACAATGTTGAATCCAGAAGCCCACTAACCTGGCTAACCTTTCTCAAGTTAGCTTCTCTAAATCATAACTCACAATTGTCTCTGATGCTAAAATAAGATCTCAACGAGTTCCTGTGCTGAATGGAGCCTTCTGGCACATGCTGGAGAAGTACGATCTGCCAAATGAAAATATTGACTTTCAAGAACGAGGTTATCAGGCTGCGCTGTTCGTCAATAAAGCTCAGGAACAATGCGATACTTTTCTGCACTTTGGGTTGAATGGCAACAGTTGCTACAAGCCAACTGGCAGATCTTCCTCTTGACCTATTGTTTGGCCCAGTACCTGCTCTGTTCACAAAATCTGATCTGTTTTTAGATGACTGACTCATTAAGAAAACAGGAGAAATAATTAGTCATTCCGTCGAGGCAAGCTGCAACAGGCAGAAGCAGCGAGAAGTTATTGCAAGAAGAAAGCATTCTCCCGTGTTTGTGATCGATAGCCAGGCTGTCGCACATACATCAGCCTGCCAGAGGCAACAGAGCAGTACATCATATTTAAAAATCATGTTGTTAATCATTGATTGTTATTCTTTCTCTCTCTCCATCACGTCCCCACTCAATGTCAGAGTAATGTTTTCCCCTTTTAGCTTGCAGAGGAGGAGAGCTACTATTATGAATACCCTTATTATGATGACGATGACGGCAAGCCCTTTGAAACCATTACGGATTCTAGCACTATCGTAAAAGAAACCAAGGTAATCTCCCAGCAAAAAAGTTGGACTCCATGCAAAGAATTTTGATTAACTAAAAGGCGAACAAGTGCCTAATAATCATAACATTGGTACATAATAGGTGATAGATGGAGCCACTTCATTGGGCGGCGCCAGCTCCGTTGCCACCAGCTCATCATCGGGCACATCCTCCAGCTCATCCAGCAGCTCTTCATCCAGCAGCTCGTCAAGTACTGCCACCGGAGGGGACGACTCATACACAGAGGAGACGAGTCCTTACGACGATTTATATGGCAACTACGATACCTACTACGACGAGTCCACGAGTCCACCTGCGGTCGACAGTTCTCGACGTGTCACCATCAACAGCGTCGGCACCGGAGGTGAACTGGACTTGGGAGCAGGAACGAGAGTTGACTTGGGAACTGGGACTGGAATCGAGAGTAAAGTGATCAGCACCGGTGGAGGAACTTCTATAACAATCACCAGAAATAAAACAACAGTAGGTTGACATTTCATCTAACTTGATACATTCGTATCAAGTTGTCGGTTGACTTTTTGCTTTGTCTGAAAAGTATTTTATTCTAAATATTTGTGATTGTATCTGTGTTTCCATAGGGTGGAAGTTCTTACAGTGACTATGATGATGGGTATGACTATGGAGTGGACTACTACACTACCGGTGGTGGTGGTGGAGGAAGCAGCAGCTCTACAGTTCAAGTTGGTGCTGGTGGTGGAGGCAGCAGCAGCTCTACAGTTCAAATTAGTGGTGGTGGTGGAGGCAGCAGCAGCTCTACGGTTCAAATTGGTGGTGGAGGCAGCAGCAGCTCTACGGTTGTAGTTGGTGGAGGAAGCAGCAGCAGCTCTACGGTTCAAGTTGGTGGAGGAGGCAGCAGCAGCAGCTCTACCTTGACGATAGGTGGCGGGTCAACCGGAGGAGGCTCCGTATCTGTCAGTGGTGGCTCTGTTTCGGTAGGAGGTGGTTCCGTATCCGTGGGGGGATCCTCCTCTGGAGGTGGTTCAGTTTCTGGCGGTGCCACTGCTACCGGGACTGGCCTTGGTGTGGACGGCAACGGTGACTACCCGGATCTGGATAAATTCAAGGAAGAGGACATCACAGACTACGGAGATTTAGATGCCTACGATGAATATGGAGATTACTCCGACAAAGTGCTGCCTGCCGAGACCGATGAGTACTACGGACAGGTGACAAAGAGCTGATGAATACTCTGCCAAACCAATTATCTTGGAAATGTGGAGGCTAGCATGGCAAGTGTGGGTAAGGGAAGAGGGAGCTAATATTGTCTGTGTGCTTGGTGTGTAGGTCGACGGAGCTCGTGGGGAAAAAGGACAGAAGGGAGAGCCTGCTGTTATCGAGCCTGTGAGTATCACTATTTGCGCAAAATGCTTGAACTGCAGATTAAGGCCGCACATGTGCACATTTTGAAATATGTGAGCACGTATGTGAGATCCACATGTAAACTCATTCAGCCCTCACTTCTGAATAGGAATATCCAAGCCAAATTTGATTATTCGGCTCATGCAGACCTTCATCGCAGTATCCCTGTGCAAGGTCTTGCTCCCAGCTGTTCACTGGGACTACAGCATAAACATTTGGAGAAGGGCTGTTCAGGAATAGTCAATAGCCTCCAAACTAGGGGTGGGCAACGTGTAAACACAAAGGGGGGGGGGACTCAATCGAGGCAGAGGGAGAAGGATAAAAAAGGATGTTTCCTGCTTTTCTGCCAAGAGGTTTATGCTTTGGAATATGCATCTGGAAGAGAGCCAACCCTGGTCCTAATTAAGACACTCTCATGTGGTTGATATTGTAAAAGGTGGTTGTCTCCTTTTGAATTCTTTGTGAAGGCATGAATTCACAGACTGAATTTTTACCCCTAATAAAACTGCAGCTGTTTCATTTCAACAAATGCCACGACGCTCCATTCAGTATACATAGTTGTGTGACAGCATGTCTGTTTATATGTGGAATAAGAAAAAAAAAGTCCATTCTGTCAATGACCCTTTAGGCGTGCATGCGATTGGGGACCCTTCGCCACCCGGTATGAATTTGTTTCTTGTGAGCATGCAAAGAGTTACAAAAACATGCTTTCAAACACAAACAGGAACATAAAGACCCATGAAAATGAATTCATGGTAAAGCGCTTGAAAAATAGTCTTTGTCAGTGTGAATCTGATAAACACTTACCTTAGTTTATCTATAGAGAGGAGCACCTCAGGATGTCTCTTCCTTTGTTAGCATTTATTCACCCTCCTTTTCTCCTTGGATTAATTGCAAGCATACCTAAAATGACAGGCAGGAATGTATGCTGGGTAAGCAATGAAGGAACTCTGATAGGCAGGTGTGTCGGGGCATGTTTTCATGTATATTTAACTCCTTTAACCAAAGCTGTGAACTAGTGCTAACTGCAGTGATATATGCTTTAAAATGAGGCCAAAAGAGAGCTGTATGGACGTCTGACCATTTCTGTGCTTGTGTGTCACAGGGAATGCTAGTTGAGGGTCCAGCTGGGCCTGAGGGGCCAACAGTAAGTATATCTGCCTTCAATGCTGTCAGCTTCCTCACATTTTCTGCATCACATGTCCTGCATGTCACTCATTTTCATATGACGTCATCATTCGATGCATAGCTGTGAAAAGGATCAACTGCTGAACTGAAAGCAAAAGCAGTGCTTTTGAAGAGATTTGGATTTGCTTAGCAGGGTTGCTTCTGACACCGTGCACATGCAGTTTTCCAGAGGCCAGCCTTCCACAGTCTGAGAGCATTAGTATAGCCAATACAGATACCATACAAAAGATTTACAGCTCAACTGGTGGTCTTATATTGCCACTTGCATTCCTTTCTCCTGTCTGACGAAGACTTTTTTTTGTCTGCTGTGTACATATGGAAGTCACATGAGATTTTCTGCTTAAAATAGGGTCTGCCTGGACCCCCTGGTGCTTCCGGCCCTCCAGGCAGCCCTGGAGATCTTGGAGAGAGGGTAAGTTAAAAAACACCAATGATCTGTAATGCTCCAAAAATTAGATTTCGTCTGTGTGCACTAATCCGTGTGTTCTGTGTCATCCAAGGGTCTTCCAGGTCGTCCTGGTCTTCCTGGTGCTGATGGTCTGCCAGGACCCCCTGGAACTGTCTTGATGCTGCCTGTAAGTAAACTTCAGTTGTTAAAACCACAAATGAGAAGTGGTGAAATTCGACACGCCGTCGGCACGTTTAATTCTCGAACCTGTTCCGTGGCCCTATGGCTGTGTTTATTCGTGTTTACACCGAGTGCATTTTTTTTCCTGTTTGTTGAACAACACAATAAACTGAGATGGAGACGGTTACTTGTGAGATCGTCTCTGTCGGACCGCAGCCTCTCTGGTGTGTGTGTGAGACACCCCCTTTGGAATTCGACAGCTAAAATGAATTCACACTCCTTTACTTTTGTTTTTTTGCTCAACTCGCTACACATTCTTCAGTCCGAATTTAAGTATAATCAGCTGTCCAGGAAGTCGGCTGGCTCGAGACAGGAAGCAAAGGCAGCGCTGGCTGTTGATTTTTTTGCTCTCGCCTCAGCTGTGTCCAGTGATTTAACTGCCGAAGTTACACGACCATACTAACGACTTCCTACGGTGTCTACCTTCTCTGCTCTCTTTTTTCCATGTACTTGGAAGATGATCTCGGGTCTGATTAGTTATACAGATGTGAGGTTGTGGTTTTAATTGACCACAAAGATGTCTGGCTGAGCCATGTGGCAAGCTCTGTCTGTACAGTGACTCAACTTGTTCTGGTGTATCCACTGGCGAAGAAAGAGACTTGAAATGCAACCCTTGAGCTCCAACTCTAATGAGAAACATGTACGGTTGTTTCACCCCTGTTTTTACTGAGGGCTTTTTGGCTCCACAATTAAAAATTGTGGAATCAACATGACACGGGTGAAGTGGCGAGCGCGGATACAGGTGATGAAGCCTCTGCTCACTTTTTGTGCTCGGCTCGTTTTGTTTTGTTTCTTTTGTGTTTGTCAGTAGTAGGACTTTGCAGAACATTCGGGGCATGGATTGATGGGGGTTTGCTTTTGTTGATCCAGAATATCAATAATGAAATCAATACGGCTGAAGGAATGTCAACAAGCGAAGCCAGAGGCAATCTGGCCAAGTAGGCAGCCAGGAAAAAGATGCGAAGATGACAGAAAAGGGGCTCAATAGCCCGTCTAACTGAGCAGAAAATTTGACAATTAGACGGGAGAAGGAACCAGGGGTTAGGCAGGTCAGTATTAAATTGTTGTAGTTTGGGGAATTGTTGTTTAGAGTGGGTGGCAGCAGGAGATCTGACTCAGCTCTGATGATCTGAGTCTTCTGTTTGTATTTTGCTGTTATGTTGCCGTGCAATCGTAGCTGAGAAGAGCCTGAGATCTCTGCCGAGTACAGCGATCCGTCCCAAAATGCCTGGCCCACATAAATAGGAATCACAAGACTACATTTTCAGCTGTGGTGCAGTGTTGGCTTTTGAACACCAGATGGCAGTAGAATTTGAGCCTGAAAGGCTGCCAACGGCCCTGATGGTACTAGTTTGAAAGCTGGAGGTTCAGCATCTGTTGAACTTTGTTTGAAATGGAAACTTTGAGCTCAGAAGATACAAAAGATTATTTTTTAATTGGAGTGAAGATGTTTTTTGGCGGCAGGCTGATATTTAAGCCTCATTACATACTTTGGGTTGAGTTGTGATTTTTCCTGTTTTGTGTGCTGGTTTAATATTTTCTGTAACTACATGTCAGACCTCTCATCCCTCCATAGTTTAGATTCAGCGCCGGAGGGGACTCTGGACAGAAGGGACCTGCTGTTTCAGCACAAGAGGCCCAGATGCAAGCCATCATGCAGCAGGCCAGGGTAAGAACTGAAAACACGAGAAGCCATCAAACATACATTTCTGCATATGTTTGGCTAAAGGCACTTTTCTTCTTAGTATTTTTTTTTATTAAACTTAAACAAATTTTACATTTGCAGTTTTTACATATAGAAAAAAAATTATTACAATAAATGTAAGGATAATTTAATCAGAAATCAGAGCAAGACAGGACTTTTCAATGTGGGGTTTGCATGTTCTCCCTATGTCTTGTGGGTTTTTTCCCTTCAAAAACATGCATATTAGGCTTATTGAACACTCTAAATTACCCCTAGGAGTGAATCTCACCCCTTTGGTAGTATAGAAAATGGATTGGAAATCAGAAATCAGATTAAATGAAACTAGATTATCTCTGTAGTTGCTTTTTTTTCTGTCTTATATATTTTTTCAACATTTGTCTTTCTGTCCTCAGCTGGCTATGCGTGGTCCCACGGGTCCAATGGGTATGACTGGAAGACCTGGACCTCTGGTATGTTTCAAAATCACTTCAGAACAAACCACTGAAGATCAATAGAAATTTGAAGGCGCAGTGCAGACAGCAAAACTTTAACAAATACATAGGCAGTTTGTTTATGTTGTAAAGAACTTAGATATACTCTGTGTTTATTGATTCTCCCTTACTTCTATTCATTTCTATTCGTATTTCATTCCAGGGTCCTCCTGGTGTATCAGGATTGAAGGGAGAGTCTGGAGAGGGGGGACCTCAGGTATGAGATCTTTTTTCTGTTAATCAAACACAAATTTGTTGGAGTGCTGTAACGTTGAATCTGTGCATTTATTTGGTTCAAACTAATTAGTAGATGCATACAGATGTCCCTTTTTTATGTTTTGGGGATTTTAGAGATTGCAAATCAAGAAAGAACAATAGTGCCTGTGAGTTTAACATAAGTGTTCGGTTTCAGGGACCACGTGGACCTCTGGGATCTCCTGGACCCCCTGGAAAGCCTGGCAGACGGGTAAGTAGTAGCATAAAATACGTGCAATAAAATGAATGGCCTGTTGACATTTATGCATTCATTTGCTCACAGAAAGCCAAGCACATTGTGTTCCACATAGAGTTTTTCTCAGTGATTCTCAAAGTCTGTTCAGAGCCCGTTACACAACAGCTGCTGTCTTAACAGGGTCGTTCCGGAGCCGACGGTGCCAGGGGAATGCCCGGACAGACCGGACCCAAGGTACCTTGGTTTCTGTAGTCTGTAGTCTGTAGAAATGTGCTTTAATGGAGCACATTTTGTGTTACCAAAGTTGGCTTTTGAAGCCTGTACAAGTCTGAACTTCTGTTGCTCTTCAGGGAGACAGAGGGTTTGACGGTCTGGCTGGACTTCCTGGTGAAAAAGGACACAGAGTAAGTTGTTGTTGTTATATTGGGTTTTTTAAATTTGCTACTTTGTTTTGATTTGAGTAGTTTGAACTTATTGTTTTTTTTTCTGTCTAGGGTGAACCTGGTCCCCATGGACCTCCTGGTGGTCCTGGAGAGGATGGAGAAAGGGTAACATGAGAACAAAAAAAGATAAAACACCTGACAGCTCACTGCTCTATCAGCTTAAGAGACTTAGATGCTCTATCCTCTGGCTTATTTGTTTTTTTCTGCTACAGAAAACACGTTTTACTTCTCAAGAGGGCTTCCTTTTCCAAAACTAACCCTCAGAATTGAAGCTTCCTTTTTCCATTTCTGTCCCCACCTGCTAATGTTTTAATCCCGACAAGTCTTTATCAGTTTCTGGTAAACATTTTTAACCCCACGAGCCTCTGCAATCTGATCTAATTTTCAACAGTTTTATCCTCTTATCCCCCCATTATCTCCCAATCACCATGAGCCAAGCATCCTCAGCTTCTCCTCCATTATCATTCACTGCCTGTTGTCCAGTCTGACCCGAAATGTATTTCTTGCACAGGGAGACGATGGAGAAATCGGACCCAGGGGACTTCCTGGTGAACCAGTGAGTAATCGCATGGATTATCATTCACTCTCACACTGAGAGATTGTATTATAGGAGAGAGCACAAAGCCTGCTGTCATCATGTAATTGTGTTAGTGAACAATCAAGCAATCTCATGGTATCATATATCAAATGCAGGCTGCTTTCACTTCTCATATCCTGTATTCTGAGATTCCTGCCCCTGTAATGCTTAGCTGCCTACTGAAGATGCTTTGGCAGCGCTTTTTTGTTATCTGAAGGTGAAAAAGCCGGCAGCTGCTGTCAAAACAGCATCCCACTTCTACTTGGGGAGAATTTTTTTCTGCACATAGTGAAGGTGTGGGGATGATGGGTGGGGTGGGGTGGGGGGGGGCAGGAAAGGCGTTACCAGAAAGCACTTGACATCTTCTGCTATGATTAATCGTGTCCACCAGGGTGTGCTACATTGGTTTGGATTCTCACTGCAGGGACAATCCATCTGGTTAGGTAACTGTGGCTGTGAGGCAAAGCGCGAAAAAGTCGGCGCATTGTTTGATAGGCATACAGCTGCGGGGAAAGGAAGCATATCGGAGAGAGAGTGAGAAAAAACATGTTTCAGCTTTCCCTCACAATCACATTCTGCAGGACGTCCTCAAGGACATTTGGGAAGGGATGCTATTTCCAAAGCATCATTTTGAAACTTGATTTAGCTTAGGGTGTTTAAAACGTCATCTCCGGTCACAGGTACAATGTGATTCCCAATTTAATTTACTTCTGTGTTTCTTTTTAAGGGGCCCCGAGGTTTGCTGGGACCAAAAGGACCTCAGGGACCACCTGGACCACCTGTAAGTCCCCCGCACCCTCCTCCTTTTTTAAATTCACTCTGTTAGCACAGATGTACTGTTTGGAGAGCAGAAAACATTTTTTTTACTATTCCATAGGCAACAAGAACAAAGTACACAACAGACAGCACCCACAGGGAAATATAAAACTCAATACATCTCAGGCAGAATGTACAGAAAGTGGCACATCTTATTGAGTTTAGGATCAGTATTTCTGAGGAATGCCTGTAGCGTAGAGAAGTCTAAACCTAGTATTTATCATTTTCGATTTAACATAACCATTCATCAAACGGTTTACAAAAGTCCCACTTCTTTGCTGTAATTGAGTTGATATTTAGTTCATTACTTCTGTTGCAGGGTGTTACTGGAATGGACGGTCAACCTGGACCCAAAGGAAACATAGTAAGTGCAGTCTGAACTGATTGAATTCCATACGCAATTATTAGAAAATGAATAACATACCTGTCTTTATATATTAAGTTTTATGTAACCATGAAGTCCATGTGAAGGCCTCATGAGGCCTCAGTGGCTGTTTTCCTCCCGTGCACACACAAATGCACCAGTACAATCAGAGAATACATCCCTGGCCAGTTAGACAATTTCTGCTCAATTTCTGCCTGCGCTGTTCGTAATGAAAGAATATCCAGCCGGAGCAGTAGAGCTGGAAGATCAACAACTCGCCCAGATACTTGAACTGAGGCAACGTAATTGATTGCCAGTTGACCCAGAGGGAAGTCATTTGGTGTTTGTGGTTCTGCAGCGTCTTTCTTTAGTAGATGAGAGAACTTTAATGTATGTATACATCAGTGTGCCTGTGTGTGTGTGTCCTTTACCTTTGTTTGCAAAGTGTAGTTAAACGTTGTATTTTTGTTTTCTCGTGCCGTTTTGCTGAAGCAGATTACAACAGTGTTCTTTTTTTTTCTTGCAGCAATTTTTAAAATTTCTGGGGTTTTTCGTTTTTAGGGACCTCAAGGAGAGCCAGGTCCTCCTGGACAGCAAGGAAACCCAGGTGCCCAAGTAAGTAATAAGCAAGTCATAACACATGATTTTACATGAATCAGAGAAGGAACTGTACACATTTTGTACGTGCCCCCACACAGGGACTTCCCGGACCCCAAGGAGCGATTGGACCCCCAGGAGAGAAGGTAAAATATCATGATTACTGAATACAAAATTACAATTTTACAAATGACAATCTCAGCTGAAGAAGAAAATCCAAACTGCCGGCGCTATAAAATGTTAATAGATTCAGAACTAGAATCTGTAAAGCCCAATTCTTTTCTAATTTTTTGCATAGGCAGAAAGCTGAGTTGCTATCCTGTGCAGTTCCAAAAGCTTATCACACTATTATGCAAACGCACCCTCAGCAAAGACACATTTTAATACAATTTACCAGCTTAGATGGAAGGTATTCTGTGTATTATTATCATTATGGTTAATTATGCAGGTATTATGTTCCCCCAATTCTAAAGCAGCTATTTTACATAACAGGGTGGTTGACTGATTATAAACGGATTTAGAAAAAGTTGAATACCATTGTGTTTATTTGAAATCGTAAGGTAATTAGTTTTGTCAGGATGTACATATATCTAATCCTGCACCCTTGAGGTCAATAAATAAGGGCCAGAATTTTCTTTGGAAGAAGTAAAAACCGTCATAAAAGCAATAAAGATACAAGAAGATATGTCTTCTTCCCATAGTGAAATCCAGTTGTCATCACACTTGTGTAATATGAACATGTTAGCATAGTTTTTGTGATCTTTTGAATATTGCGTACTCTTAAATAGTTAAGACCTTATACTAACTGGCATTTTGCTGTTTGTCAAGGGTCCAACTGGAAAGCCAGGTTTGCCAGGAATGCCAGGGGCTGATGGCCCACCGGTGAGTTTCCAGTTCTTCTTCTTTCTGTTTTGGTTTAGTCTATAAGCTTGCAATAAAACGTTTTCATATAAAACCAGTTAACATACACGGTACAAAGCATGCTGAGTATTTGCCCAAAATATATTTTTCATAATGCACTTCAGCTCATCTCTGCACACTCATCTCTGCGCAGACGGCACACACACTTGCACTAATGGCAGATGTTTCTTGGAAAGCACCAGGTGGCACATAAGAAAAATGGGGACAAGAGAGGCTGTGAGATTTGAATAACTGCCAGGCGGGAGAGGAAAAAAACGCATTGTGTGAAAATGAAAAAGCAAGGATCTATTGAAAAGGAGGAACGAGTGGAAGAGGGCTCTTACGATGCAATAAAACACTCCCTGATCCTTTAAGAGTTTTCTTTTTAAAATCAAAACAACCTCTCACCCATTTACCCACTCATCTTTTTTTGTTCGTACATTTCTTGCCGAGAACTTCAACCACAACACCCTCAGCTTTAGTGCTCCTCTCTCCCCATATTTCTTTCCTCTCTTGTATCTTTTTCCTTTCCCACACAAAAAACCCATCAGAGGTTTCATGAAGCTTCTTTGTCTCATGCGCGTTCAGTCAATTTCTTTGCTCGACATCCACTTGTGTCTATGATGTGTGTTTTTGTGACCTCTGCGTTGTGTGTTTGCTCGTATGCATGCACAGTATCCATGTAATGTATTGTGAAGTCCCAGAACAGCAGCAGTCTTGGCTTTTAGAGTCCTGTAATAGCTGCTACTGCCGTTGTAATACTGTGCATTAAGGATAAAACATCCCAAATGGGATTGAACTTGAAAGGCGCTTTTTTCCATTTTCTAGTTAGATTTGTCCTCCAGCAGTTTTATTACCTAATCCCTCAGTTATAGGGATGTTATAGTATTTATGGTGGTAATTATCTTGAAATGCCATGTAATAATATTACTCTTAATAATTCACAGGGTCATCCCGGAAAAGAGGGTCCTCCTGGAGAGAAAGGACACATGGTGAGGATTATTCTCTCCTCTTTCTATCCTACTTTAGTTTGCATTTGCTCATACCTAATTTATTCAAAACTTTCCAAGTTTCGTTTTCCTGTTGGTGTCCCAGTTCCGACAAGTTTTCATTGAATTAATGTCCAAAAGGTTTGTGTATGCATTCACTAAGCTCACTTCAAACATCTCTCTCTCTGTCTTTAGGGCCCCTCTGGCCCTCAAGGCCCCATTGGTTATCCTGGACCTCGAGGCGTAAAGGTGAGTTAATTATCATTAATATGGAACTGATTTTAATGCTAAAATATAGTTGACTACTTTGCAATTATTAGCTTTAATGACTAATTTAAATATGAGGTATCACAACTAAACCTGTTGGTCAAGCAATTTAAACACTTCTATTGCATCTTATTTTCATAGTATTTAATTGACTTTCACAGGATCTTTTATTTAATGAACTTTCCTCAAAAAGGCTTTGAATTTTCCTTTCCCAAAAATGTAAAATCAGCTTATCATTTACCACACTTGGTACATTTCATATGTTGGTACAAAGACTAGTCACAGGGGTTCATCACAGCCCACGCGCACAGCCCTCCTCATGTTTGGTGTCAGTAATGGCTGACAGCAGCGAGACAAAAGAAATCCCATCAAATTATTCTCAGTAAGTGGGTGTGACTGATCCAATCATTACAACTCTCACTGAGACAGGAGGACAGACAAGTGGATTGACCTTGAACTGTTAATGGGCGCTTTCTAAGAAGAATGGTCGGAGAGGAAATAAGTTATGAAAATGTCTCATACTTGTATGCCACATTTGGAAAAAAGCAACTCATTGGATGCTCACTGGGGCTCCTGAGAGATAAAAAAAAAAAGCTATTGTGTTCAGTCGGATTATGTGGAATTCTTTGTAATACAACCCTCATGGGTTTGTCATATACGCTCAATGTATGAGTCGATGTAACTTTTATCTTTCATTGTATCATAGGGAGCCGATGGTGTTCGTGGCCTCAAGGGAACCAAGGGTGAAAAGGTAAAAAGCATGCAGGAAAAGACCGAAGTTAAACATCTTATTTGATTTATAGAAACATTAACAGAGATGTGATTAGCGTTTCCACCACAATGGTGATGGGACAGCGTGATGGTCTTTTCATGCTAATTAAATCCTATTAACAAAATGGGAATTGTGCTGAAAAAAAAAGAAAAAAACGCTCTCAGTTACTAAACAGTTACTATGGCAACAGCACAAAAGTGAGGCCCAAAACCTCAGTTTTTTTATGTGTGAGCTTGTTTTTTGGTGTATTTGGGTAAAAAGTATTTTTCCTTCAACATTACGCTCTCTTGGGTCTCGTTCTAGGGCGAAGATGGCTTCCCTGGCTTCAAGGGAGACATGGGTATCAAGGGAGACAGGGTAAGAATTGTTTTTTTTACCCATCACTCCGTTGTATCTATCAATCAAACATGCAGATGATCAATTAAACATATGGATTTATTTTAATTGTTCTATGCTTTCTGAAGATAATGGTCACCTACAACAAAACAAAGATCAAGCAAGTGCCAAATTCTTAGGTTAACTTTTCTGACTGCTCTGGGTTTGTTGGCAACAATCAAACAGAAGGTGCTGTTCCTCTTCCCAGCTGTGATCATGTGTGCATGTGTTTAGTGTCAGCAGATTTCAGTTTACTCTCCTCCACTTGTCAGTCAGGCCTAATCCTCCATCTGTAGGAGAAAAGCAGCTCTAGTTTGACGGGTGCTCTGCAACAACGTGTCTCTCTCCGAGGTGCATTAGAGATTTATCCTGTCAAGTTGTAGGAAAAAATGCCTTTTGGGGTGAGAAATATAACTCACACCAGGCTGTACTTCAAACGTCAAGCTTCCTATCCCTGACCGGGCTGTCTCTAGCCGAGCACAGTAAGGAGGGAGAAATCAATGGCACTTTAAACCCCCTTCAAACCCACGAGAGACACAGGGCTTCATCCTTGTTTTCCGCTGGAGATGTTGTAGATTTGGATGAAAGCAAAGAATTGGGGAGATGCTCTGGAGACGGATACATGGACTAGACTGTAAATGACTGATTTGGATGCCCTTCTAAGAAAAAGCAAGTGTGTTTGTGTGGACGAGAGTGCTCAATTTAAAGTGCTCCCTTTGATGAGCCTTCAAGCGGGAGTCAAGTACAGTTTGCTCGATGCTGTTTCATGTGTGAATGAGTATGGATGTGTGCATGAAGTTGCTTGCTTTGCAGTTCTTTGCAGTCCTTTAACTAGAGACCTTTCATACCGACTTGCCTCTACGGCAGGGCCTGGTTGTCAGAGCGAGTTTGTATTGCCGTCATTTGGTGTGCGTCCTTCGAGAACGAGAACACACTGAGGAGAGAGGCAATAATGGGATGGCTAACTGCCTTAGAGGGCGAACAATGCCTCCGGATCCTTTAAGTAACGCCATACCTGTAAAAAGCCAACATAAAGCATCCAAAAAGGCCCCTTTGCTTGGTCGTGCAGAAACAAAAACCTCTTATGTAGTTGATGTTGTTAAGCAAAAAAATTTTGTGTTGGACTTACTTAACTCAGAATGAAAGCTTTATTTTCTTTGTGGTGTGAATTTAACAGAATTCAACTATTGGACCAGTTTTCTTTTTACACTTGTGTTTAATGAAACATACGTTTTTTTATTAATAGACAGGGCATGTCAGTAATGAATGGAGCAACTCATGAAGGCCAATAATTCAAATATATTCAACATTTAAGTCAGTTGTCAACGATATATGCAGCATGCAGTCACTAAAGCTTTGGGATTCACTGTTTATTAACCAGTGTAGACCACCAATGTTTGCCGTTTTTGTTTCCTGTGGCCTCCAGGGAGAACTTGGACCAGCTGGACCCAGAGGTGAGGATGGTCCTGAGGGGCCAAAGGGTCGCTCAGGCCTTCCAGGAGACGCTGGTCCGCTCGGGCCCAACGGAGAGAAGGTGAGCTTGCCATTTCTTCTCCCACAGACTAAGCCATACTGATATCCTGTCGTCAGATAAACGAGAGCTGAAAGAAAAGCCTCTTTCTCTCTTGAGATATGTTTGATGTCTAGTGTAAGCAAAGCCAGGTTAAAAAGGAAAAGTTGTATAACCAATTGCTCTATCCGGCTGAGGACATGAATGAATTCAGACGTAGAATCAGATATAGAATAATCCACTAAACTTTGAGCTGGATCAGTGTTCAGTTGACAGTCTTTCATGAGAGGCCAAAGAATTTTCAGAAATATATGTAGAATATGTGGATTCTGGACTTTTAACAGTATCGCCTAGTAAAAACATTTTTGGGTGGAAATAAGTATGAATTGTGGAGGCTACATTACCTTTCAAAAGAAGTCTTCTTTATTAAAAGAGGCTGTCGTGTTCAGTTAAATCGGCACACAGTACAGCCTCTCCATGATTCAAGCAGAATTAATTCTCAAGTGATGCTCTTATACATTTGAATGTTATTAGTCCTGGCATTAGTCTACTTCTATTCATACAATTTACATACTTAGTGTGCAACTATAGTATGTTGCAAGACTCAAGCTGCCGATGTGCCTTGCGCCGTGGTTTGTAAAGCAATAATGAGGATATCAGTAGGACGCAGAAATTCAGCTGATAATTTTAGAACCCCACTTGGGCTGTGGAGGCCTCATCAACAAAATATGCTATTTTGGTTCATTTGGGTGCAGCAAAGCAACAGGCAAAAAGGTTAGATTAAGTTCACATAAATAAGAGGGTGTGGTTATTTAAAACCACACTGCATCACTTCTTTCATTGCTCTAAAATTGAGCCAGTCACAGTGGAAGTCAACAACAATAACTTTGCCAATGGAACAGAGTTTTTCCTACAGTTGATACAGTGTGACTACAGTAATATAGTTACATCACTGCTCTAACTCTGGTTAATCTAAAATTATCATGGATCCTGCCATACTGTATAGGTAAAAAAATTACTGTACTTTCTAGACACTGTAGCGTATATTAAACATTAAAAAGAAAATACTTTTCCTTCATCGATCAATTGATGACTTGTGAAAAATGTGAAAACGCCAGGATTCCCTTTCACTTTTTGAAATGTGTTCGTTATGTTCCCTTATTATTCACCATCCTAGTGTTGTTCACCATCCTAGTTTGCTTTTTAAGTTGTCAAGTTAAGAGCATCAGGGACCCTTTTGAATAAAACTGGACAATTATTTGTGTATTTTACAGGGTAAACTTGGAGTTCCAGGACTGCCAGGATATCCAGGAAGACAAGGACCAAAGGCAAGTGCTTGTATCCCTAAATAGTGTTGTTCACTTATATCAGTAGGAATAATAGATGCATGATGGACATTTCGCTAGCCAAAATGTTACTGCATTTGAGTTGTGCTGTCTCTGTTTGAAAGAGAATTAAAAATGCCAGCATGTGCCACGCAAGCTGCTTTGCTGAACTTTGGATGCCTCATCCTTTAGCCTCTCAGAGGCAAAGCTGCAGTCTGACAACTGGACATGCTTGAAGCTTCCTGATCAAAGAGCTATGAATTTGAATATGCCATTTACTGCCAGCCCTTAGCTGCTGACACAATAACAATAAAATTCTGCAGCCTTCTGTCGAACAGTAATAAGCTGGGAATATCACAGGGAATGAATTAAATAAGAGATAATTGTTTTGGTTTGTCTCTCAGAGGAATAATTGCTGTCTTTCTCCCAAACAGGGATCTCAGGGCTTCCAAGGTTTCCCTGGAGCCAATGGAGAGAAAGGCACTCGGGTATGTCATGCAGACCTCTTGTTATTCCTATTGGTCCCACAAGAGTTGGACACAAGTGGACCTCCACAGATGGTCTCCTCTCCCAGATATAGATTTATCAATCCTGTGGCTTTTTTATCTAGGACAGAAAGACAATTGCATTCTTTCCTCATTACAACCGACACATCTAATTTCAAACCACCAGAAACTTTGTTTATCACTTGGTGGTGCCAGAGCAATGCTTCATTCGCTTTGTTTAAGGGATGGGCCATTAGCTTGCCTGAAAGAGTAATGGTTTGTCACCACGAGTGGAGCAAGGCACATAAAGCCTTTCATCCTCACAGAGCATTTGTGAAGTTTATGAGTCCAAACTCTCAGACAGAAAGGGATAATGATGCTTTTAACACAGTTTTACAGCACTTTCTTGAAAGTTAAAAGCCACACATTGTTTTTTCTCATTAAAAGTGCATGCACCCGCTTTGCTATAAAAGGGTAACATTGGATGTTACTGGTTTTTATGATGTCATTTATTGAGGCATTAATGGCTCAAATGTTAGCGATGATAAATGTTAATTGGAGTTTTCGAACAGATAACCCCTTAATTCATATGATAAAAAGCAATATCAGGCCTCAGCAATCTGTTTGCCAAAAAATACTGTCTTCTGGCATGAGATTAGTTTTCTACAGGAGGCAACCTCTTACCAATGTTTGCGCCATTTCTTTGGTCACTGTGTGTGTTCTTCATGTCTACAGGGAACAGGAGGAAAGCCAGGCCCACGTGGACAGAGAGGACCAACGGTTAGTCTTACTCAGCAGACCTGAGCTTATCTACAGATGGTGGACTTGGCACAGTTAAATTGGATTCTGAACCTTTGTGTTCTAGAGGGAAATCCAACAAGAGACGATAATTAATCTCAGCATTTTCAGGTCATCAGTATCTCTTAGGAGCCACTCTAATATTTTAATTACTTCTTCTTTTCTTCAGGGACCCCGAGGAGAGAGGGGGCCAAGAGGACCAACAGGAAAAAATGGACCAAAAGTGGGTAAAATATTTATCAGCCACCTTTTGCGACATCTTCGGTACAATTTTACAGCGTACACCATACTTTATCTCTTCAGGGTAACTCAGGAAACGATGGCCCCCCAGGACCTCCTGGTGAGAGGGTATGTACCAACACTATCATTATGAGGTATTTTATCCTCATGAAATGTGCAAATTTGCAAATTAATTGCTTTTTATTCTTGTTTGTTTTAGGGTTTGCCAGGACCTCAGGGACCAACAGGCTTCCCAGGACCAAAGGGCCCTCCTGTGAGTTCAGACTTTCTTTTTATAACAACCTCACCATTTTCAAAGTCACTTCTTGCATTTACTTATGAATGTTGATATTTCTCAGGGACCTTCAGGGAAAGATGGGCTGCCCGGACATCCTGGACAGAGAGGAGAAACTGTGAGTGCATCGGTTTAATTATTCAGGACTTCCTCAACCATTAAGTTATTGATAAGACTATTCTTTAACTTTATGATTGGTTCTTAGGGATTCCAAGGCAAAACAGGCCCTCCTGGTCCCCCAGGTGTGGTTGGACCTCAGGCAAGTAATTTTTACTTTAATATTTTTGTTTTTCTGCACGGAAAGATGGCCACTCATTATAATTAATCAGTTTGCATTATTTTGTTGTTCTTGTTGTTGTTTTAAGCTAACACTGTTGTAGATGGAAACCTGAAAGTGATAATTAGAAACAATATTTTTCTAAGCTGTAGATTTATTTTCTTACCTATATTGTAAGATATATTGCCATGAGTTCTCAGTTACGTCTTGTTTCTCCCCTGTCATATAACTATTAGTCTCCATTATGTATGAAAGTTTAACAGACGTTGCTTCCAAGCAGCCCTACTAATGTCAGTTGTCACGAATCAGGGCTTTAATGAGTTGTAGGACTCCCACACAGCAAATGTTGAGCTTCTCCTTGCCATGTTTTGTTAGAGATAGAGGAATCATAGCATCTTTTGTATTCAGATAATTTGTTTTCCTTGCTTTTTCCTCTTTGCTTTCTTCTCTCTGTAATTCATTTATCGCATCTCTTCTGCAAATTGATTCAACCTTTTAGTGTCCGAGATATTGCTTATTGCTTTTTTTCCCTCTGGCTGCAGGGACCAACAGGTGAAACTGGGCCAATGGGCGATCGGGGTCACCCTGGACCCCCAGGCCCACCTGGTGAGCAGGGTCTTCCTGGAGCAGCTGGAAAAGAGGGAGCTAAGGTATAACCTGTCTGATATCCTCTATCTTTTCCTTGCACACCCATCACACAGCTTAGTACTTAATAATACGTCTTCTCATATCTATTTCGAATTTTGTCTTTGTTATATATAATCAATTGATTTGTGCTTTTCCTTGTAGGGTGACCCTGGTCCTGCTGGCCCAGCTGGCAAAGATGGCCCTCCTGGGCCAAGAGGTTTCCCTGGAGAGAGAGGTCTTCCTGGCCCTGTGGTTAGTATTGTCTTTGGTCAGAGCTCTATAGCACCTTCTGATAAAAAAAAAATCAATAAATCTCACAGCGTGGTTATTACATAACAGATATAGGCTTTCAAAATACTGCACGATTGTGTGGAATCTCAAATCCAAAATTACATCACATCTCTGTGTAGGCTTTTGAATAGAAGCAGCACACTCCGTGATCTCTATTCTTTCCAATGTTATTATAACTTTCCAAATCCTGTTGACATGCTTATGTAATTTACGCTATTTTCTCCTACAAGAAAATCACCCTTTGAAACCTTTATTATCCATAAAAAGGGTTATCAGGTTTTTTTTTAATGATTTGACTGCAGCTGTTATGACATATAAAGGGAGTTTGCTGCAAGGTTGGTAAATCACTGTTCTCTCCATCTGGTCAGCGTCCACTCTCGAGACTACAAGTCTTTTCACCTCATGCTGAGACAGTTTGACGATAGGAAGTCCATTGTAGGATAGGATGTGTGCTTATCCAACAGATGTGTTTATTTTCTCAAACCTTCATTTTAATCTCCTCTGCAGGGAGCTCATGGCCTGAAAGGGAATGAGGGTCCACCTGGTCCACCTGGCCCTGCTGTGAGTACGATTTACTGCATCTATTTCCTCACTCTTACCTTCTTTTTCTCTTTCCATTTATGGAAATTACCTCCATTGTAAAGTTTCTAACCTTAGTGTTTAAGAGTGCCTCTGATTCAGTATAAAGATTTTCCATGTTTTCTTCTAAGTTTTCTACTTGTATAAGGGGGGGGGGTAGTGTCATGCTGTGGCTTTGATGTGTTTTGCTTTGCTTTTGGAGAGCTAACTTTGCTAATCTGGTTCTGATGTAGGGCTCTCCTGGTGAGCGTGGTCCTGCTGGACCAGCAGGACCTACAGGTATGCCTGGACGTTCTGGCCCTCAAGGACCTCCGGGCCCTGCTGGAGAGAAAGGTGGACCGGTAAGAACATCACTATATGCAAAATATCCCAGACAAATAAAGCGTCTTCCTTATGGCATGGTGTGCCCCTGTCACAAAACAAGGGAGAGAAAGGACCTCAAGGCCCAGCTGGAAGAGATGGTGTTCAGGGACCCGTTGGTCTACCCGGACCTGGAGGACCTCCTGGGCCACCAGGAGAGGACGGAGACAAGGTCAGATTCTTTTCATAGTTTTTTTTAAGGTTCAAGTGAATAACAGTATAAAGCAAGATTTAAAGATATTTGTGCAGTCTGTATCTTTGTCCCTCTGAAATACAGCATTATATGCAAATTTATCAACCTACACAAAGCACTAAAGCGGTCCTCTGGACTCTTTTTCTGCGACCTTAAATTTTCTGCTGGGATTTTGTCAGACAGACTTTGCATCAATTAACAGATCCTTAAAAGGCTAAACTGCAATGCTCCTGCTTTGTGCTGCTCTGCACAGACAGAGGACACTCTAATTTTTCTGTTGTGGAGGCTGAATCCATTAAGGGACACTTCAGTATTCAGAAACAAAACTAACTCTTCATCCCCTCCCAAAACATTTGCAGAAAGATCAGCCTTGGAGATACTCAGAGGATAAGCTCTTATCCTTTGAAGAATGCCACAGTTCTTAACTGGCCTTACATCAGTCGCAGCAGAGTAGACAGACACAGGGGGTATTTGCCATGTAGATAAAAAGGATATTGCAAGCTAATGTTTACACTCATTCATACAATGTCTCATTATAAGTCCTGTCTTGAGGGAATGGACAGCTTTGAGGGCTTTTTTTAACAGACAAAGAGCATTGTCATGCCAGACCTCAAAGGCAAATGCCCTGAGCTCCTACAGGTACTCAAGTCATTTCTCCAAATAAAAGAATGGAAAAAATGCCTTTTGAGAATATTTTGTTACAGTCAGGTACAGATGGGAGTAATTATCTTTTCAGATTCTTCTCAGATTCAAAGTGTATTTTAGAGCAAATGAGTTGCAAATCAAATATCCATAGCTTGGTCTAAAAAATGTGGGAAATAATTTAGAATTGATTTCGGCGTGCTCCGAAAAGTCATTTGTGTTATAGGAAATGTAAAATGTATGCTTTAGAATCATTCACTGTCAAATTGTATTTCCTCTGATGTATACTAACTGTTTTCCCCACACTTTGATATTATTAACTTCACAGGGGGAGCTTGGAGAGCCAGGACAGAAAGGAAGTAAAGGTGACAAAGGAGAACATGTAAGTAGTTGTTCTTTACACTATTTTTAAAAGAAAACTAAAAAATAAATTCAGATTTATTTTTCGTTGATCATTTGAGTTAATGTTGCATTTTTCTTAATTAAAACATTGCATCTTTTTCAGGAATACAGTAACATTTTTGCATTTTGTTTGGCTCTTTTCAGGGTCCGCCTGGTCCTACTGGCCCTCAAGGACCTGTTGGAGCACCGGGTCCTGCTGTAAGACCCTATTCCCCTTTTGGTTAAGTTATTCTCACTCTTACATCAACTGATCATTATCTGTTACTTTGTGCAGGGTGCAGATGGTGAGCCGGGTCCCAGAGGCCAGCAGGGTATGTTTGGCCAGAAGGGAGATGAAGGGTCAAGAGGCTTCCCAGGACCTCCAGGCCCAGTTGGACTGCAGGTGTGGAGAAACTGTGACACTTGTCATGTGTCTTTATTAGTCCACATTAGAGCAGTATAATTAATTACTCTGCTAACTCTTCAGGGCTTGCCCGGTCCACCTGGTGAGAAAGGTGAAACAGGAGACGTCGGTCAAATGGTAAAAGCTAAATTTATCAACCATCTGGCTATCCTTTGTGTTATATTAGAAACAGTTTTCAAATTATATACATTTTGAATTAAACTTTCTCTCCTCATACCTCATAGGGTCCACCTGGTCCCCCTGGTCCCCGCGGTCCCTCTGGACCCCCAGGAGCAGACGGCCCTCAGGGCCCACCTGGTGGTGTAGGAAACCCTGGCCCTGTGGGAGAAAAGGTAACAATCTCATCTGTTTCCTGGCAGAAAACCTTGAAAATACTTTTGTGCATAATCCTACAGTTGTAGAGATTTAATTTACATTGTTTTTTTATCAGTCTTTTGACCCCAATTACACTATATCTCTGGTGCTATGTTTTTTTTTTCTTTGGCAAAGACTTGCAAGATATTATATATGTAATGTAAATTATTTCTGCTTGCTCAGAGTAACAGATGTGCTGCAAATCTAGAGGACAGACTGTTATCCAACACAGTATTGCTGAATATGTAGTCAAAGGCATTTTGTTGCAATTTCTAAGATGAGGAATGCATTATCAAAGGTGGCCCTCACACAGCACTTATTTGTTGCTGCTGTTTTATTTTAAAATGGCCTCCTTTGGCAGCTACTGGAATGCCGTGCAAAGTGCTCTCTCATCACTTTCTGTCTGTAGAGATGGTGTGATTTGTTTTATCTGGTTCAGTCAATAGAATCGCCTTTTTGCTCGTTTATAATCTCCCCGAGGATAGCCTGTTTCCCCCCCGTGCAAACACACACACAGACACGGTGTTCCTCGAGCTAATCGCGCCTCAGCTGATCTGGCATTTTATTAGCCAGCCCAGAAAGCTGGCAAGCAACAGAGCTCAGAATTTTTCAGTTTCACATCCCTCATATATCTATGATGAGCAGCTGTCTCTCACGCTCTCGGTTTTTCTCTTTTCTCAGCAGATTTTTACCAGCAGCCATTTAGTGGACATAAGCAGGTTGTTAAAAGGATGGAGTCAAGTCATATTTTGAGATGCAGCATCGCATGGAAACCAGTTTGGATAGCTAAAACATGAGGATCTGTCATACTAGCTTCTGAAATTTTCAGTGTATTTTTCTGACTACAACGATAAACATCTTGGAAGGCGTCCCAAGCTCTGTACAGCTGTGCTGTAGAACAGTCCTCACCTTCCAAACATGACATGGACTAATACGTTTCAGCTAAACAAGTGTCTATTGTAAACCCCGGCAGGAAGGACAGCAGGCTTATGTGACAGTGAATAACGATAGTGCCATGCGTAGAGGCGAGTCAACTGGGCAACTATTCGATAAGGAATAAGGAAGTGGACAAGATATATGAGCAGGGTCCAGTGAGAACAGTGAGGTCAGCGCACTCTTTGCTTTAGCCACCCAATCTGCCTGTGCTTGATGGATTGAAATCTCTTGTGTCATCTCTTTCTTTTCCCATTTGGGGGACAAGGGCACTAGGACACTCAGGGCTGCTGCGAATGATGTGATTTTTAGAACCACACTGGAACAAAAAAATTCTTTACTGATAATATATATGTCTCACCTCCTCACTTCTCCCCAATCCTCTCTTCTAGGGAGATTCTGGTGAAACAGGAGAGCCCGGACTTCAGGGAGAAGTTGGCCCACCTGTGAGTTATCTGTTCTTCTTTAATTTTACATGAGAAAAACTTTACATGACCAAAAATCACAGCCGGATCGAAAAAATCCTTTCTTGTTCAAAGGCTTAACTATTAATGAGTTTATCTGCAGTGGCCACAAGGAAAGAATAACCTATTTATCTTTCTAAAAAGCTCCATTAATGCCATTAATCTCCCTTTTTTGTTTTGCTAATTATGTCAGGGTCCAAGAGGAGAGCGTGGAGAAAAGGGAGAAGGTGGTCCTGCTGGTGCTGCTGGACCTCCTGGCCCTAAAGGTCCCCCTGGGGATGACGGTCCCAAAGGCAGTCCAGTAAGTCATATTCCTCCTTCACTTTCACCAGATGCCTTCATAGTGTAAATCATGATAAAGATATTTTTCCCATAAAAAAGTAAAGCAGTTTTTATTAATTTAAAGGGTCCAAGTGGTTTCCCTGGTGACCCCGGTCCACCTGGAGAGCCTGGTCCAGCTGTAAGTTTCTTACAAGGCTACATCTGATATAAGAATAAACTCAGCTGTTTTTATAATGTATCTTTTTGACTGATGTTTTGCTTTATTGCAATGCAGGGTTTAGACGGTCCAGCGGGTGACAAGGGAGATGATGGAGAGGCTGGTCAGCCTGTGAGTGTTTGTGTGACTTTCCAGATTGCTGTGCAAGTGTAGATATAGTGGGACTTGTAAATGGATACATTTTTATTTCAAACTAGGGTTCACCTGGTCCCACTGGAGAGTCTGGTCCCTCAGGACCACCAGGAAAGAGGGTAAGTGCCATCCATAGCTTGTTCAGTCTTTCCTGTCTATGTCCGTGTCAAAATATTCAACTGTTCTGCCTTTGTACTCCACCGCATTATTATTAATCAACTTTTCATATATAGGGGCCACCTGGAGCATCAGGACCAGAGGGAAGGCAAGGAGAAAAGGGAGCCAAGGTAATTCAGCCAGCACACAATAAATATTTTCTGTTGTTTCTTGTTCAACTCATACAAATAACCAATAAACAGATAAAAAATAAAAAACGTGTGAATTCTGTATCAATAGGGAGAGTCTGGATTGGAGGGTCCTCAAGGAAAGACAGGCCCTGTTGGCCCTCAAGGATCCCCTGGCAAGCCTGGTTCAGAAGGACTCAGGGGCATTCCTGGTGCTGTTGTAAGTAAAGCATTTCTCACTCAAACCTCAGCCAAGGCTCAGTCAAACCTTTATGCGAATACTGTTCAGTTAAAGGAAAAATGTAAGTGACCCATACTGTTTTGATACCTGTAGGGTTTAAAAACTGTGGATAAAACCTATTTCTTTTTAGGGAGAGCAAGGACTTCCTGGTTCTCCAGGCCCAGATGGACCCCCTGGACCCATGGTAAGTATAAGTGATGTCCTGCCTTTGATATGAGGCATCTTTTGTAATGTTTGATCTGATCTGAAGGTTATTTTCTGACAGGGCCCTCCTGGATTACCCGGCTTAAAAGGAGACTCTGGTGTCAAAGGAGAAAAAGTGAGTACCCTGAACGTGCACCTAACAGACCTGAATGATTTCAACCATTAGCGTAAAAGATATACAGACATTTATTGATATATGTATTGATATATACATTTAAAAAATGCAACTCTGTGTTTAACGTAAATATACACACTGATTGGAATTTTTTTTACATCTGACTGACAAATCAATGCCTTAATGATCTGAGGGTGTGTCACTCTGATCTATTAAGCTTTACGTTGGTTCATTATTGACTGCTGTATTGATATTATGTTCATAATGTGGTTCTTTACCCCCAGGGCCATCCGGGTCTCATTGGTCTTATTGGCCCCCCAGGTGAACAGGGAGAGAAGGGTGACAGAGGTCTTCCAGGCCCTCCGGGATCATCAGGCCCCAAAGGAGACAATGTAAGTAAAGGGGAAAGAAATTCAGTGATTAACAATACTTTTTCCTCTACCAAAATCAATGGATTTGTGTTTTTTTTCTGTCAGGGTATTGCTGGTCCTACAGGTCCCCTTGGTCCCGTTGGCCCTCCTGGTTTACCTGTAAGTCTCTGCTCATCAGGTGTTCTACTCTTACCTGAGCTTAGTGTCTTAGCCAGTATTGATTACTTGATCATCTGTGTCCATAGGGTCCTCCAGGTCCCAAAGGAGCCAAAGGATCATCTGTAAGTGATTTTCAGAAGGCAGTATTACATAAGAAATCCTTAAAAAATTGTATTATGACTCATAAATTCAGGATTAAGCATGGATTTTATGTGTCCTGGACAGGGTCAAACTGGACCAAAAGGAGAGACTGGAACACCTGGACTCCCTGGGCCACCTGTAGGTGTTGATTTTCATCTGATCTATCTGGACCTTTTCATTACCCCGATCCTTTCTGACGGATATAAACACTTTAATCTATCCATGACAGGGTCCTCCTGGCGATGTCATCCACCCACTTCCAATCATGTCCTCCGTCAAGGGAAGAACACGTAGGAATATTGACGCTAGCCAAATGATGGATGATGCAGCTGTGGACGCCAACTATAAGGACTATGACGATGGCATGGAGGAAATCTTTGGCTCGCTCAACTCACTTAAACTTGAGATCGAACAAATGAAGCACCCACTGGGTACTCAGAGCAACCCTGCTCGTACCTGCAAGGACCTCCAACTCTGCCACCCTGATTTCCCCGATGGTTTGTATTGCACATTTTCGCAGTTGTCACCCGCATGCTGGAAATAGTACAAATAGCGAGATGTATTTTAAAACAAATTCTGAAGGCAGAGTTTAGAGTGTATGGATTTGTTCACAGCAGCAGAATGTCCTCCTTCGGTCCACCTTCTGGTTCTGCACTCAGATTTAGTGATATTATTTTGATTGTTATAACTACGTGACAAAATTATGACACTCCCTTGGACTTCAGATAATCCTCCCTGACGTTTTATACAGCAAAATATTAATTGTTTTTGCGATGATAATCAACAGATTTATTTTGAATGAAAACAATAATTAGATGGAGCCCTAGAGTCGGCCATCAATCATCTTGACGTGGTGCATCTTGGATATATTTGCAGCTTATCCATCGTGGCTGAATTTGTGATTGCAAACAAATTGACAAATTTATTTGTCAGTCAGCTCAAGTATACACACATTTATTTGTGTCATTTGTATGATGATGCATTAATTTAAAAGAAATGTAGACTTGTATTTCACGTTTGACAGCATTATGACACCAGTGTGCACCTAAAGCTGTATCAAATATGCCACTCTGTGTGTACCATTGAGTAATGGTGTCCTCTCTCTCTGTGTTTTCTCCCTCTCTTTATCTCTTCAGGTGAATACTGGATTGATCCGAACCAGGGCTGCTCGCGGGACTCCTTCAAGGTTTACTGCAACTTCACAGCAGGTGGAGAGAGCTGCATCTTCCCAGATAAAAAATCAGAAGGGGTACGTCTGACGTCATGCACACAGGCACAAGAGCTTTTGCAAACATGAGAGAAGTTCGGTTGAGAATACAGTATGCAGACAGATTAACAGTAAAAAAGAAATGTTGATGTTACCATCCTAACAGTAAAGCAATGCATGTTTTACTACTTTGCTGGCTAGCTTTTCTATTATTTTATGGAACAAACTGTGGTTTGCATACTGTATGAATAGCCTGAACATCTCAGGAGTTTGCAACAGAAACTCTACTGCATTAACCATTCATTATTAATCTGTGTACAATCACCTGATGTGTTGTGTTTTTTATTTCACAAGGATAGCTGCAGCCACCGGCTTCCTCACTCAGACATCCACCCAAACCCATCCACACCCTGTCGTTCCGTTGCTATTTTTAGATTGAATATCAATGGCTCTATTGCATATGAGGGCTTTGATGGGTGACAGGGACATTGAGAAGAGTTTCTTTCTTTCTTTTTTTTGTTGGTTTATTATGCATGCGTTTGTAGAGGAGAGGAGAGTAGCAGTGTGGTGAAACGCCGTCTCTGACAACCCCAAGGTTGTGCAATAGCGCGGTGCTCCAGCCACCTTAATGATCCCACTCACCAAGCCTCAGAGGAGCAGGGGTTGCTTAAGCTCAAAATAATGAAGCCAACTTTTTATAGCAGACTGGTGATGGGCTGCTCTCATTTGTGTCAAGGGTGGAAAGAATAGCCCATGCTGTCAGTTTTGGCTTTGAGACTGAAAAAAAAACAACACTCCCACGTGTTTTTGAGATTGAAAGGGTTATTACGAGAGCATATACTGATGGAAACCCGTACACAAAACCAGAGATGCTGCTTTTGAAACTTAAAGTGGAAAGTCAAAGCAAGGATACGCTTCCCTGTCTCTTGTGGAAACAATTAAAGGTTACCTTCAAGGCAGCATGGGTTTAATGTATGCCATCTCCTAGTGATAAGTGAACTCTAGCCCATCCTTCATTAGCACATTAAGCTTTTTATGACAGCTCCATATCAAACTCTGCTCTCTAATTATGGAGAAATTCATCATTGTCATGGCTGAGACTGTTAGAGGAGTGGGCCGTTGGCTGAGTTTCAGCTTTTAATGGCATAAAGTTAGTGCACCCCGACTACACATCACTAGCACTGAGCAGCAGGGATAAAGGAAAAGTATTAGAGCGCCTTGCAGGCAATCATTTCTTCATTAATCACTGTGTACGCATGCATGTTTCAGTAGCCATTAGCCTCCACCTACAGTTTGTACTGTATGGAATGGCATAATGGCACAAAATGGTCCCACTGAATACTGTTTCAGGTCTGGAAGGATTCTTCAGAGGACAAGGCGAGAGGAAAGAAAATCTCAGCGTGGGTGTGGGAATTATGTCAAATCGCTTCCTTCCTTTAACACTACTCTTTTTCCCCCTCCTCTGCCTTTGTGTCAATCCATGCCCCCAGGCTAGGCTCACATCCTGGGTAAAGGAGAATCCCGGTTCCTGGTTCAGTGAATTCAAACGTGGTAAACTGGTAAGCCAGACTCAAGACTTCCCCAAGTCCCTTCCCTGAATGCCTCTCATATTTTACAGAGCAAAATGGCAAAATGGCCCAAAGACTCGCCAGGCACATGGTATAGTCACTACAAGAGAGGTTCCCTGGTAAGTGGCCCTGCCTGTGGTTCCAGAGTTCCCGTTGTGGTCGGGACTCTGTGTGCCTGAGGCTCTGCATGGTTCTGGTTCTGCACGGTGAAGTATGTATCAAAGCTTGGCTATTTGCTTGTTAATGGTGACGTTTCTGAGGTGCATGATTTAGCTCAGGCCGCACCCACCTTCAGTCCAGCAACATGCAAGTGATGCTCTACCAAGGAAATGGAGGGGAGGTTTGTGGACCGTGCAGTTATTTTTAATGGAGTTTAACAAACTCCGCGCTCTGTAATTTATCCTGCCACACCTCTGCTGCATTAGGAGAGCATCTCATAGGAGTGACTGAGTGACTCGACACTCTCATGACTCAAGAAACTTCACTGTATTTTTAGCATTTTTATAATTTAAAACCTACGCTTTTTCTTACCCGTTTTTCTTATAGTCCCCCACACAAACAAAAAGATGTTTGAAGCTGCATTAGCTTCTCCAATACGTCCATGGAGTTCTGAGTCAACAGGTCAGGCACTCAGTCACCACTCCGTGGCTTCTAAGTTCTCAGTCAGTGTTGAGTTGATAAAGAGGTAATGTTTTCCTGGAGATTTTGGATTTCGTCCACACGCCGTGTGGAGCAAAGTAACAGAAAGTGTTGGGAAAGTTGAGAAAAACACAGCTCTTCCCAGCCACCTCTACAGGACTGACACTCATGCATAAATTATGAGACAAAGTCTTTAGAACCTGTTGTTGATTTGCCAGGTAAATCGATCCCTGACGCTGAGTTGTTGCTCAGACAGATGTCAGCGAGGATGAACCTCCCTTTTAATGTCAACGTTGAGTGTCAGTCCTGTGGTTTTCAAACGCATGCGTGCACAAATGCTTGCTCATGTCTAAGAACGAGTCAAGAATGGATACACCCAGACTCACAGGTTTGCTGCACTGGCTGCATGGCACAAATTCTGCATGTGCTCTACTCTCAGTAAGTCCTGTTTGTCTGAAAGGAGAAGCGACCGTGTGGATCTAATGGATTCTGGATGGTTGGTATGCAGATTGTCACTTCCGGACATAAAAAAAAACTGGAACTGGTTCCAGATACGTCTCATCAGTAGGGATTACAAAGCAGTATAATCAGCTTAATGGGATGTGGCTCATTTTTTCGGTAATATGAGCGTGAAAATACAAATTTTAGGTTAATTATTAGGCAATTAACATCATTACTGCTACAAATTTCCTATTTCGAGGTTTGTGCTTTCATTATTTTACAGTAATTAGCTCATATTGGTTCAGATTTTATACAGTTATTCAATTAGAATTTAAATGAAGTCTTTAGTTCTGCTTTTTTGTATTTTGGACTAGAATGTCATTATGACCTCAACCCTCCTCTTCCAGACATTTTCGAAACATTAAATATTTGAGTTTTACTAGTGACACTAGTGTCTGTTTGTTTCTGGGTTAGAGCCAAATTCTGCCCACAGGAGTATTGCACTATTCAGTGTGGCACAGGATTTGAATAATTTATGAAAACAATGAAAAGGTCCTCTCATAAGTGCAGCACGATAAACAGTTGATGGCACTCATTTCTCCACAGATGTGCTAGTTATGCAATTAGCGGCACCTAGATTTTTTTTATTCATGAAAGGGAACAAAGATTAAATAATTATGCTAAATGGTTGCTGTAAATTCAATTAATTGGAATCAGGTGTTCATGCATAAAGTCATAGCAACATTCTGTAGCGGGCATAGATAAAACAAAGAAACTGAAAGACAAAGTAAAGCATTGTAGCTCCTGTCTTTTAATGGGATTACCTGCCAGCTGATGATTATCATCCATGCTTGAGTCATGCATCATCAGTATGCTGTTTAATATTGTTTCCTAATTTAATTTAGTTAATCCTCTCAGCACTGCTGCAGAGCATGGTAGTTTCATGAATGTGGATCCTTAGATGACAGACTGCTATCAATACGGAGCATTTCCTACATTGTTTAGTACATAAAAACCCAACAATAATATGAATTGATACTCAAAGATTAAATCCGAACAATTCCCAAGACATACAAATTGCTCAATGTAGACGTGACAATAAGAGTAAATAACCTCTTCCTCTTGTAGAACTTGTCTTCCCTGGCCAAGAGTTACATTTTCGGATGTTCATCTTTTTTTCTCTGTTCTTTGCAGCTTTCCTACGTGGACGCAGAGGGCAACCCCATCGGCGTGGTCCAGATGACTTTCCTGCGGTTGCTGAGTGCAGCCGCCCGGCAGAATATGACATACAACTGCTACCAGTCAGTGGCCTGGCACGACCAGGACCAGGACAACCACGACAAGGCCATTCGCTTCCTGGGATCCAACGATGAGGAGATGTCCTATGATAACAACCCCTACATCCGCCCCCTGGTCGATGGCTGTGCGGTAAGTTAATGAAACGTCTGTGTCCCCCGGGGCGATTGGGAGAATTCCCTGTAATGAACACTGTCAGATAATTATGTTTCTGCAGTCTTTGAAGTGGCTCAGTCAGTTATATCCCGGCAAATGCTTGTGAAGTTTTTCTCTTTTTTGTCAATTTGTATTGTTTTTCACACACCAATTCTCCCTCCTACTGTGTCTTTTATCCTGACAGATGAAAAAGGGCTATGAAAAGACAGTACTTGAGATCAACACGCCAAAGGTGGAACAGGTGCCTTTTGTGGACATCATGTTCAATGATTTTGGTGGCTCCACGCAGAAGTTCGGATTCGAAGTGGGGCCTGTCTGTTTCATCGGCTAAGACTTTTAACTGCGCGAATGGAGAAAAAAAATCCTTTTTTGTCAGAAAAAAAAACAATTGAGAAACTATAGGACATTTCTATTTGTAAAAAAAAGTAACGTTTCCATAAAGCAACAAGTATGAATAAAATTCAGTCAAGATTATGGTGAAATTTCATAAGAACAGAGGAAATAACCTTCAAACCACAGTGTGCCTTCTCCATCACATGCAAGTTTTGAAACTGGATGTCAGATCCTTCCTTCTGTACAACACTTGCACACACAGCTTTGTCCCATGTCATCACTTTATTTTGACTCTTTTTTGCCCCAAACAACAAAGCCGACCCTGAGAGCTGCAGTCATTCCAGACGGTTGCAGCATTTTGCCATATACTCCATCCGATTTGGCTTTCTGTAGTTTCATCTCTTATTTCCCTTCATTTTTCAGCCTTCTGCCACTTATCTCTTGTTTGTTGCTCATTCACTATGGGATCTTTTTGCTTTGTGAGTTCCAAACATATATATATATAAATATACATATATGTATATATATATATATATATATATATATATATATA